GGCTAACCAATCCTTGTGGTTTCTACCGGCCGGATCCTTGTGGTTTCTATTGGGAGAGACTGATGAGTACATGCATGTAGGCGCCGCATAATCCAGACGGATTGCTTCATTCAATTCATTCATTCATGTAGGAAAGGAAAAGTGACTGAAAAGTTAACTGGAGCGCGTACGTACGAGCTCATGTGGCACGCACGCGACATGGCTGACACGACGCCTGGCCCCTGCCTGCCTGCCTGACCCCCCCCCCCCCCCCTCGCAGATCCGCCTTTTTTCCTTCGCCCAGAATCACGCGGATGCGCACGGAGACATGAGTACACGTACGTAGGCCGCCCCCGCGATATGATCCCGTCGTCGCCCCCCCCCCCCCCCCCCCCCCACACACACACACACCTCGCAACTTGCAACTCAGGATGGAAATGGCTAGGGTCGATCCATTTATCCATTAAACCTATCCGTAAATTTAACCTAATGGATTTGTAGGGTCGCTCCAAGAATATAAATGGATCAAACCATTATAACTAAGGTTCAAGGGGTTCGATTCAAAATGACTTCACATGTATAAATGTTTCAAAAATTTGTACAAAGTTACTTCGCTATATAATGATTCATTCCTGCAAAATTCAACTAAATTTAACAAGTTTTCATAGTGTGAACATGGGTTTAAAAATTTTGGGTCCGAGTTTTACATGTAACTAGAATTTTTGGGTCTTAGCAACGCATTATGGGCCCCACATGTATAAAAGGCTCAAAATTTACACAAAGTTGCTTCTCTGTGCAATAAATTATCCCACCAAAATTAGACTGAATTCGATAAGTTTTTATAGTGTGAACGTGAGTTTAAAAATTTTGGGTCCGAGTTTTACACACATATAACTAGAATTTTTGGGTCCTAGTAATGCATCGTGGGCCCCACTTGTATAAAGGGCACAAAATTTATACAAAGTTGCTTCTTTGTGCAATAAATTATCCCACCAAAATTCAACTGAATTCGATAAGTTTTTAAAGTGTAAACGCGAGTTTAAAAATTTTGGGTCTGAGTTTTACCCACATGTAATAAGAGTAGCCGATCCATTTGGATATCCATAGATAACCTATTGATATAATGGACTCATGGTGGATCGACCCTATTAAACCATGGATCAACGAACTCACTTAAAACGGTTTAGGTTCAATCCATATCCTAACCATTCCCATCCTGACCTGCAACGCGGCTACCTAAGCTAGTAGTACTACTACAGTAGTGTAGTACTAGATCTCAATGTCTAGCTCGATCGATCGTACGCGTGCAAGGCAGGAGCGCGCGCGGCACCGTGGCCACACGCCCACACGCCAAGCCGGAGCCCCCCACGACCCCACCACGCCACGCCCATCCGATCAGTCCCACGCGAATGCCCCGACACGGCGACATCGCCACCACGCGCGCCGCGGGCGGGGCGGCCGCTCACTCGCACGCATCGTCATCGCTTCGCTTCCAACGTCGCAATCGCCGGTAAGCCAAAGACAGCTGCTTTGTTCCAACCGCGCGCAAAACTGGCCTACTAAACCTTAACCTTTCTGAGATCTTACTACAGTATCTTGCGCCCGTGCAGCGAGCAGCAGGCGAGGCGGACTGACTGACCGGCCACGTGCGGTTAATTTTGCATGCATGCATGGTCCTTTTTTTTTTTTCACTTATGTGGCGGGGAGCAGTATAGGAGTACTCTAGGACACTAGGTCTGTACGTTCCACGTGAAGCGGCCTGGGCTTGTTGGTGATTGATGATGCGTCGTCGACCGATTCTTTTTTACCGTGGTGACAGGATAGAAAGTGAAAGAAGGGAAGTGCGTGCGGTGCGGTCGAAGAGCCAGAGCCACAGAGGCGGCAGCTTGCGAGCCACAAGGAGATCGCGTGGTCGTGTCTTCTCTACGGCACGGCCGATGGGGAAAGCGAAAAGCGCAAGGCGAAAATATTCCTTTCCTAACACTCAGGCGGCTCGGCCGGCGGCAAACTATCAACTGGTTCGTGCGACGAATAAGAAATTTGTTACTCCCTCCGTTCAAAAAAAAAAAAAGACAAGTCATGGGTTTCCGTGTCCAACTTTAACTATTCGTCTTATATAATTTTTTTTTATAATTCGTATTTTCATTATTGTTAGATGATAAAACATGATTAATATTTTATTCATGACTTGTCTTTTTAATTTTTTTTCATAATTTTTTAAATAGGACAGACAGTTAAACGTTGAGCACAAAAATAGGGTTTGTCTTTTTTTTGGATGGAGGGGGTACGTATGTTTATTGGTTTATTTACGCATTCATGCGTCTTTAGATTGTTCCGCTGTCAACTACGTGCTCATCACATCGTATATCTCACCTCAGTTATCTTACAACGTAAGGTAATACACAGATGCATGCACGAAGAATGAAGCGATCAATGATATAAAAACACTCTATTTTTTTTTCTGAATAAATTTTCTCCCCCGAATCATAAAGAGGAAAAGGAGACAAGTGTGGAAATGGAGAGGAGTGGCCTGGCCGAATCTCGAGCACATGACCCCCTCGCCGTCTCCATCCACGGGATGCCCGCATTTTCCGGCCTCATGTGCCTCCCCCCTCCCCCGGCCCACACCCCCGCGGGCCCCACTCCCAACCGTCACGTGAGTACGTGACACGCCGTTGCCGCCCATCATCTATAAACTCCCCCTTGATGATGTACTTAACATCTTGTTAATCAACCCGTCACCCACGCCCTAATTAGCCAGCCTTTAATCTCCCCGCCTCGGGATTAACCCCGCTAATGTTCGACTCGCGACAGTACGGCGCGGCCACGCGCGCCGCGGGTAACCACCACCCACGGCACGTGCGCTAGCTTGCGCCGCGCCGCTAACCGCCGTCACGTACGTAACGCCGTCGTTAGCCGCGCGAAGGCCGTATAAAGCTGAACTTCACACGAGCAGCTGGTAGCTCGCGGCCCGCTGCTGGTAGAGGAGAAGGCGAAGCCAAGCCAAGCGAAGCCAAGCAAAGGGAAGCGAAGCGGAGAAAAGCTTGTCTTGTAGAGAGGAGGGGTCTCTCGTCGTCTCGCGTCGGAATTCTCGCGTTGTGGCCGCGGCATGATTGGTCCGGCGAGCGATCGCGGCGAGTCGGCAGCGGCGGCGGCCGGGAGGCGGTGGGATTGATCAGCGAGCTACAATTATGGGCATCCAAGGTATGACGCACGCACGCATGGTGAGATCGAATGCAAAGCATGCGGAGATGTCCCGTGATTTTTTCTCTTTCGCCGTGGATCCATGGCTGCGTCGCCTAATTCGGCAAAAGCCGCGTCGGTCTCGTGTTGCTCGCAACGCAGGGAACAAGGCGACGACGCGCGAGCACGACTTCCTCTCGCTGTACACCACCGCCGCTAAGGATCCGTCTCTCCAGCTCCACGACGCCAAGCCGCCGCCTCCTTCCCAAGGTCTGAAAAAAAAAACCCTTCAATTTTGCCTCTTAATTTCTCGGCGCAATTCTGCTCTCTCTCGTCTCAGTTCTTCGAGCTCCGAACTAGCGGTTGCTTGGGCGGTAGGTAGATCTGTGAGGAGTTGCAGAATTTGGAAATTTCGCTGACAAATCAATCGGGATGGAAATCACGAAGGGGGGCAGGTGCGCAAGACCATTGGTTAGTTAATTAGCAAGTCAGTAAGTACATTATTAGCGCTATCGCGTGTGATGGTAGGGGTTCAAATTTCGTGCAAAGTTCGTGATGGGAAGCGACAACCAAAAGCAACGAAAGGATCACGTGTGGGTTGGACGCAAGGAGCCGTCGACGGCCTTCCATCCTATCTGGCTGGGACCCACCCCTCCAACCCACGGGCTTAATCATGATTAGCCTGGTCATAACCCTAGCTCTAGCTTGTCAATACTACTAGCCTACTAGCACGTATACCCTCTCTAGCTTCTTGTTCCAACTTGTACTGAGATGTTAGAATTACCGCAGGTTTCTTCCTGAGGACGCACGACTTCCTGCAGCCGCTGGAGAAGCCGACGCCGGCGCCGACGCCGCCTCCGACGAGCCAGCTGCAGCAGCAGCAGCAGCAAGCGTTCCCCGGCGGCATCGGAACGTTCAGCATCAGCCACGTCGCCGGCGCACGCCCGGTCGCGGCTGCCGTCGTCAAGGCCGAGCCGACGCCGTTCGTTCTCTGGGGCCAGCCCGCCGCCGCCGCCGCCGCGCACCCGGTCGCCGCACTAGGTACGCACATACATACACTCGTCTACAGCGAATACCTGCGGCGCCGCGCGCGCGCGCGCGCACGCCGCCGCGGTAGCTAGTGGACGCCGCTCTCGCGTTCGCGTTTGCCTTTTCCGGTCGCCGACGTTGACGCTCGCGGGGGCACACGCGCTGCGCGGTGCGCGAGCGCATCGCCTTTTCTCCTCTCCTTACCGCGGTCGCTTTCGCGGCATCACACTCGCGCGCGCGTGCGCGTGAGACCGAGGGAGAAAGGTGGAGGAGGGCCGAGGGGGAGGGGACAAGCTGGGCCTCGATCGGTGGGCCGGGCGATCAGAAGTTTGGGCCGGAAAATGGGGCCCATGTTGTCCGTGCAAAACTGAGCCTTCGTCTAGTCGTCACGCGTCCCACCACGTGAACGCCAGGTGCTTAGCCGCCGGACGCGGCCCACCACCGGTGGCCGCCACCGCGGCTACGGCCACACGCGCGTCTCCACGTAGAGCACCACTATCCCACTGACATGTGGGCCAGTGGGCATTTTCTCTGCTGCCTTAGACAAAAGCTAAAGGCGAGCACTTTGTCATTGTGTGTACTCCTCCACTGTGCAGGGCACCACCACCACCACCACCAGTGGACGCTCCCCTTCGCCGGCGTCGGGCAGGTGGCCGCCACCGCGGCGAGGCAGCAGCAGGAGTGGAAGGGGCGAGTCGGGGGAGGCGGGTTCATGGACTCTGGCTCCAGATCCAGTGGCGGCGCCGGGTTCGACGACGACGATGGCGTGGCCGCGCGGCGTGAGGTCTCGTCCTCGCTCAAAGGTACCCCAATTCCGTTCAATTCCGCTCGGTTTCGCGAGAAATTTTGTTGTTCTGGGTTGCTGGCCGCGTCGATGGTGGAGAATCCGCGGGTTTTGCGGGGTTTTGGCATCGTTTTCCCCCAATTTTTTGGCCTGTGTTTTATGCGAGAAGCAGAGAAATGCCCCGTTGTTGGTGCTCACGAGGTAGTGTTTGTGTAGCAGAGAGGAGGAGGGAGGGTAGGGGGGAAGAAGGGAGGAGGAGGTCGCGTGAGCTCATGGAGATGGAGATGGAGATGTACTCGCGGTGCGCGCGGCCATCCCACATCCACCAGCTGCATGCGCGCCTCGTGGTCTCCGGCCGCCTCCGCTGCACCTCGCCGTCGCTCGCGCTCGCGCTGCTCCGCGCCGCGTGCCGCGTGCGCGCGTCGCCGTGCCTGCGTCCCCTCGCCCACCACCTGCTCGACCATATCCCGCGCCCGCACCCGCATCTGCTCCACGCGGCCGCTCGCCTCGCGTACCGTCTGCGCCTGCCTTCCCTCGCGCTCCGCCACTATGTCGCCCTCCGCACGCACCACCCGGTGTTCCTCCCTCCCGCAGCGGCCATCGCGGACATGCTCAAGTCTGTCCGTGGCCGCGCCGCGCATGCCCACGCGCTACGCGTCACCGCCCACGCAGGGGACACTAGGTTCCTGGATAACACACTTGTCGCGATGTACTTTGCCTGTGGAGATGTCCAGCGCGCACGGCTTGTGTTTGAGGGAATGTGTGACCGGGATGTCATCTCATGGACATCGCTAATCTCAGGACTAGTGCAAAATGGCAGCCCCTTGCAAGGTATACAGCAGTTTGCAACGATGATGCACTGTGATGTACGCCCTGACTTTGTGGTGCTAGTGACCGTCGCCAAGGCGTTCATGGAGCTTGATAACCTGCCAGGTGCTGAATCAGCTCATTCCTTAGTTGTCAAGGGCGGTTTCCATGATGAACAAGATGTGATGATCACATTGACAGCCATGTATGCCAGCTTTGGGTGCTTAGTAGCTGCGAGGGCGCTTTTTGACATGGTCCCACCCCAGCAGGTGAATGTGATCCTGTGGAATGCCATGATATCAGGTTACTCCAAGAATGGATTTGCCAGTGAGGCAGTGCATTTATACAAGCATATGCAGCTGGTTGCTAGGAACTTGGCTCCCGATTCTATCACTTTGCGATCAGTAATATTTGCATGTGCTCAGCTTGGCTCCACTGAGCTTGCGGCATGGATGGAGGATTGTGTATGCCGCAGTGAGTACAGGGAGGATGTGCTTGTGAACACAGCTTTGATTGACATGTATGCCAAATCAGGGAGCATCTCTCATGCACGTGCAGTCTTTGAACGGATGCATGTGGATGACCGTGATGTGGTAGTCTGGAGTGCTTTAATCACGGGTTATGGTGTGCAAGGCCTTGTCAATGAGGCTTGCACTTTGTTTCAGGACATGAAGCTTGCTGGAGTAAGACCAAATGACGTGACATTCCTTGGACTTCTATCAGCATGCAACCATGCAGGTGCTGTTGAGAAAGGATGGAGCTACTTTCACTCTATGAAACCTGACTATGGAATTGAGCCCCAGCACCAGCACTATGCTTGCGTGGTAGACCTGCTTTCTCGTGCTGGACAGCTTGATAGAGCCTACCAATTTATACTGAATATGCCCATCAAACCAGAGATGACTGTCTGGGGCGCTTTACTCCATGGTTGCAAGATGCACGGGCACTCAAACATGGCCATGGCTGAATGCGCAGCACAGCACATTTTTGAGTTGGAGCAGTCCAATGCAGGGCACTATGTTCAGCTTGCAAACATGTATGCATCTGCAGGGATGTGGAGCCAAGTCGCTGGCATGCGAGTCACCATGAGAGAGAGGGGTGTCACCAAGGCAACGGGGTTTAGCTTCATCGAGGTTGATGGAGAGATGCACTCATTCCATGCTTGGGATCACTCGCACCCGAGGGCCACCGAGATATTCGCCATGCTGTGCCTTCTTTCTCCAACTCCAACCGGAGTTGGAGGGTGAAAGTTGTTGAGTGCCTTTAACTAGCCATGCATTGTTTGTATCCTGCAATTGTTTATGACCTGAGCAGTCTTCAGTCAGCATTCATTCTGTTATTTGTATCTTGTTATGATAATGCAACCACAATATATTTCACAACAGAACACCTGAACCAACGAAAAGAAAACGAAAAAAATATTTTTTACATACCAGTACAGCTTATTTATTTACATATATGGAGTAAAATATTCTATGGAACATTCCCCTCACCTTATTTGGTACTAATGAATTTTTATTTATGTAGCAGAGTTGACAGTGAGGGTGGATGGGAAGGGTGGGAGCTGCAGTGGAAGTGGTACTGATCAGCGGCCCAGCTCACCACGTTCAAAGCACTCTGCTACCGAGCAGCGTCGGCGCAGCAAGATCAATGACAGGTAACATTTCCTGTATCCGGAGTTTCTGAACCATAGAAATGGCTATTACAGTATGATTGTCTGCAGGACCTTTGGTGCTGTAGATTATGTTTGACCACATGTTATGTTCCCTGGATGAAGAGAATATACTGCAGGAATAGAGTGCCTGGTTATAAAGTATTGCAAAAATTTCTGGTGTATTTGTACATATTGAGGCAATGTTTGTACCTATTAAATACAGTGAATTTGAAAAGAAATCCCAAATCAGTTTTTTAAACAAAAATCACAAAAGGGTATAAAGTGCACTTTACTGAGTTATGCAAGAGCACATTGGCACAAAACTACAAATCCTCTCCATCCAAAAAAACCCTGAAGTTCTCTTTTTTAATCTTGCAATCTGGAAAATCGAAGACATGAGTACTAATGCTTGTTGAAGACTAAGCAGGTGTCTAGAGGATGCATTGTCTAAATAACTTTTGGACATGTAATTGGTCGGGCTTCCCTTTTGTATACTGACAGGAAAAAAATGTCTTTGTGAAGTCTCTTAAGTCTAGTATTATGAGTAAATTGTCATATTTTGTTCATGATAAACAACTGGAACCACATTCAATCGTCAAAACCATATGAATTTCTGAGATCATAAAGGTTATGCATGTAACGCTACCAAATATTTACTTTGAAAGATCGTAGGTATATGTTCATGTGGAACGGAATGGGTCGCTTATATGAAGTTGAGCAAACACTTGTGTAACTGTTTCCTTTACTCTGCATCATTTCCACAGGTTTCAGATACTTAGGGAGCTGTTACCTCATAGCGACCAAAAGAGAGACAAAGCAACATTTCTGTTAGAGGTATGCTCGTAGCAGCAGCCTATTTGATCCAATTAGTCTCTCCGAGGTAATCAGCTTGGTTATTTTTTTAACACCCTTTCTAATGCAGGTTATTGAATACATACGCTTTTTGCAAGAGAAAGTGCAGAAGTTTGAAGCTTCAGTCCCTGAATGGAACCAAGAAAATGCAAAGATACTTCCATGGGTAATTACTACTCATTTTTATCCTCCCAAGCCAGCGCTGCTTGATTAGCATTTTTATGAAGTCAAATTTTGGCTGTCTGCGTCTGAACACAGTTTTGTATTTTGCAGTCAAACATATATTTTAGATCGTTCTGGAAAAATTCACAAGTAAGTTACTGTTGATATTATACCCTTTTCAAATAATTTCATTTTTCAATTGGTATTCTGACCAGCATCTTCCTCATGCTCTTGTGCTGCAGAGTAAAGGTCAGAACCCTGGAGATGATTTGCCTGATCCTTCACAGTTCATCCGGAATGGGTCCTCTTCTGGGTATAATTTCACTGGCAAACCTGATGATAACCACAACATGGTGACATCAGCAGCTGCCTCAGGGGCACAAGAACTGGTGGAAACTGACCATGCAGCTAGCGTGTCCTACAGATCAGCAGAAACTCCGACAAACATTACCAGTATGATTGCTAATCCACAATTGATTTAATTTTTAGAATAGTTTTCTCTGCTACCTTTCTGAGACCAGAAGCAGGATTGGTTATTCACGAATAAATCTTTCTTTGAACGTAGACAATGTTACATCCCAAGCCCAAGCCCAGTGGGCTAGTCCGGCTGGTGTGGATGACTGTGCAATGAACAGCGAAATGTTAAATAACCAACAGTTGGCAATTGATGAAGGAACAATAAGCTTGTCAAGCCAATATTCCCAACAGTACGTCTTTAAAAATATAATTCCCAGTGTTATTTTGTTCCCCTTGCTGGGAAAAGTACATTGATGCATAGGTTTGTTTTTGTTGACTTACTACAGGCTACTTGGTACGTTGACTCATGCCCTTGAAAGCTCAGGTGTTGATCTGTCCCAATCCAGCATATCTGTGCAGATCAACCTTGGCAAGCGAGCTGTTAAGAGACCTGGTGCTGATGGATCCTCCAGTTCTAAGGTACATCAAAGATATTCATATGCCCGGCTAGAGATTCATTTTAAGGATACACCATCAGCAAAACTTGAATAGTCACAATCATTCCTGTTGCCAGTTTGTGATGAACTGCGAACAAAATGAATTGTTTGACATTATCCTAGTGCATGCGCATTGCTTATTAGACATATTTGCATGAACTTAACTCAAAGTCTTAACCGGTAACCCATACACACCCCCACACCCGCAAACCCCCATAAAGAGCACGGAGGTGATTCTCACAAATATATCTAGGTATCTAACATCTGGTATTTTGCATTGATCAACGCCATCCTCCCCGACAGATATCTGATCTGATGCCACTTTACATCTATGTAGGAGCTCCCCAGTACATCAGCGAACAACGAAAACATGGGTCACCAGCTGACGATGTTAGGGGGTGGTACTGAAGAACTTCCACACCCAACGAAGCGCCATAAATCGGGCAACAGCTGATGGCGGTTCTCACTCTGTTGCATCATCCAGACCGATTGATCATTCTTTCCTCCCTACCAACCAGCCAGGACATTCCAGAATTGGATGTACATTATGTTAGCAGTGACGGCATCGCGTTGAACAAGGCAGACCTTGGTGTAATTCTTTCATTCAATCACTTGGCCAACCTGTTTTAAGAAAAAAAAAAGACCAAAGAAAGGCGCTTCTCATTGTGGATTGTGAAGCTGCTCTTGTACACAGGCTTCCATTCCTATGAGAAGCTCCCCCCTGACAAGACAGTCAGTCCTACGTTGTAACCTGTATGATAACTCAGCTGCACCTGTTAGCTATGTGAAGTAGTAATTCGTTGAAGTATTCTAGATCTCTAGTGCTTCATTGCACATCACTTCTCTATCTCTGACCTATTGTGCTGATGAGTGAAGTATTAATCCTTTTCGGTTGTGACTTGCTGGCTACTACTGATGGGTTGAAGTACTAAACATGCAAGCTCATAGATTCCGTGGCCTTGACATGCTAAAACAAAAACCAAATGCATGAGTAAAAATCAAACTCAGGAAATCGAAGTATTTTTCTCTTTTCCATGTGTGCTTTTGGGATGCTGTCATCTCCTATGTTTTCTTCTCTTTTCTCTGTAATATTCCCATGTAATCTCGCTAATTGTCCTTCTGGGCTCCCGTGCTTGCGCAGACTAAGCTTGTCTTGTGTAAGCAACTTCGAAGTAATGTATATTCAGCTAGGCAATTCGCTCCACCGGTGACGCTTCATAAAACTCCAAAATTGTAAGTCTTCGAAACCCGGTGACTGCCGCTGATGCTGCTGCTCTTGTACGCATGCGAATGCCGTTGCAATGGTCGCACTAGGGAATTTCGCGAGCGCACGAGGAAGCAATACGTTGGAGTATTGTAGTCCCTATTCAGTACGCATCATCTCCGATTTATTTCTCACTCTGACCAATTATGCAGATAGGCGAAGAAAATCCAGCCCTTTGAACTACTTGTTGGCTTGATGACTGGTAGCCTGGTACTGTTGGATTGGAGTATCGAACAAGCATGCAAGCATTTCAATCAAAAGCATGGTGACATCAACGTGACGGTTCGGTACCTTCAATACTTCAAGCTGGAGTTTGAAAAGCTAAGCTTGCGATTTGATCATGTGTAGTAGACAAAAAAAAATGTCAGCATATGTACCGAAAGGCTATCTTAATTCTTGTCCCTTCCAAGACAAGGTGGACTTGACGTGCTTGAAGAAAAATCCACACAGTAAAAGATCAATATGGAACTCAAGAAATCGAAGTCTTCAGAAGCTCCAGAACTGGAGTCGGTCTTCGAAACCCGGTGACCGCTGCTGATGCTGCTGCTGCTCTTCTACGCATGCCGATGCCGTCGCCATCGCAAGGATCCGCACTAGGGAAAGTGGCCACCGCACACGCACCCGCACCCACCACCACCTTTGTCCCGTTTCTTCGCCGTGCAGCCCGTGCTCACCGGAACGAGTGAGAGAGAGAGAGAGCGAGCGCTGATTTTTTTCTTTTATTTTTTTTGAACTTTTTTAATTTTTAATTTTAAAAATAAACCTTTTCAAGAAAATTTGTAAGACATGAACCTTTTAAACATGCCAGCGGAACTGACGTAGCAAAGCAATACTATGAACCGATCTGGCTAACGTGACAACGTTATTTGCTCACGCTATCCTCACTAGCGTGGTAAGACAAAACCATAACGTCTGTTACATGACGTCTCCGTATTGTTTTGTCATGACAGAAGTGCTTAAAATAAAGTTCAGATTAAGTTTTGGAAGGATCTGTCCTTAAAATTTTAAAATAGAGAAAATCGAGAGAGAGAACTCGCGCGCGCGGCCGCTGCGTTTGGCGTACGTGCGCGGCTCGCCGGATGCCGAGAACCCGACGACGCGCACGCACGACGCTACGCTCCACCGGGAGCACGGCGACATCGCGCCGGTCAATTGGTGCGGCGCGCACACGCGCGCGTACCACCCGCGGGCGAGGTGCGCTTGACGCGAGCGATTTCCCGTGGCAACTGCACGTGCACGCATGCACGGATGCACGGGTGCAAGCTGCACGCACACGGCGCGGGTGGGGGCATGTGCGGTTGGTTGCTTGCGGCGGAGGAGGAGTGGCTTTAAAACTCGAAGTGTGCGCTGCTTTCTTTTGCGGTAGCTTCAAGGAGACGACGAGGGAGGAGTGACGACTTCAGATTCAGAGGGGGCACAGCACGTGGAAGTTTCTTGGAATGTTTGTTCAGTGCACATGTTACTATCTCCGTAGTTATATACTTAAACCGGTCAACATGGAACGGACAAAGCTTATAATAAATTAATAATTACGGGGAGAGCAAGAGTTTCTGTACGAGCCAAAAGAACTGTATATACTTTGTGAAACCCCGCGTGTTGCTGCGGGAGTTTAATATGATAACAAAAAGTAAAAACAATGTGTAAGATAGCTTAAACAACATAAACTTACATAAGTTGATGTGATTTAAATTTAAATAGTATATAAAATAATGGTTCAAATTTAAAAATAAGATGATTTGGCTTCACGAGAGAAGAAAAGGAGCAAGATAATTTAGACCATATATCTAAGGGCTAAAAAATTAAAATGATATGGCTTAATGAAAGAAAATAGAAATAACATTAACTAAGTGAGGATGAACTATATAGGTATATAGGATATTACAAAGAGTGATGGAGAGATATATTGAAATATTATGTGAATTATGTTCGATGATTTAACATGCTTCCATTTTACTAATATCTAAAATTTAATAAATTATAAAATTATAGATAATATAGTATGCTTGCATGATGATTATATGTAATAATTGTTAGTAGATGATGATGTAGTATTTTTGCATGCTAAGCTTTAATATTTAGTAGGTTATAACTTTATAGTAGAGAGGATTACCAGAATTCAGCCCGGCGAAAATGATAATTCAGAATTCAGAAACAATCAGGAAAGTACATGCATGAACCACCAACTGCCCAAATGTAGTACAGAGAAGTACAGTGGAAGAATTTTTGACAAGTCTTGATCCGTATGTATATGTACGAACAACTCAACACCTGTGAGCATGTATGCTTATATTTACAAAACAAAATTACATGCTTATTTTTGGGAGAAAACGGCAAAAAATTATGCCAACGTGTATGTTATGTAACAGTCACCTAGCAAAAGGAGGCCAAATTCTCTCATCTCGTGTGCTTTTATTCATCAATACAACTGGGCCTCCATTTATTGCCAATTCAATCTGTAATATAATCCTGAAAGAATGTGTAATTCTGTATAGTGGGAGGGGTGTCACAAAACTGATAGCTCTTCTGGTTGGTGCAAACACTCATGAGGATTTGCATAGAAGTAGTCTTCTTCCTTAGGTTTGTCAGGAATCATCTGCCTCCTTGATGGCGCGCCCATGCGGCTGCTATGCGACGCCTTCACAGCGGAGGAGAAATGGTTCCATCTCATTGTGCCGTTTTTGTACTGATCAACGAGCTCAACTATAAGCTTCCTATCTAGCAGTACAGTCTTCTTGAAGCCCAAGTATCTGTTCTCATAGGAACAAGAAAGAAAATCAATCCCGTTATCTAAAGAAAAGGAACAAGAAAGAATGATCCAATCAGAGGTTGAACGGGAAAGGAGATAAATGATTATTCAGAGTTTCGGAAACAATGTCAAGATTGCAGCGAACAGTTTCAGCTTACAGCGAACAGTTATCAAGATTGCAATGAATACGCATAGAGCATCCAGTTTAATGTCTAATTATTTCCACGATGTTGAGTGGAGCATTTCAGTGTATCATTAGGTGAGGGTTTGAGGACATCCTTCCATTGAAAGAAAGGGTTTGGATCATGCAGCATGATATGGGCTGCCATTTATAGAGGTAAGTGGTGGGGCCGTGGAGGTACTATATGTTTCAGAGTTTAATAACAAGAACTTCTGTTTTTGTTATACTACAGTATAATATAGTAGGAGGAATAGTGTAGGCTGGCAATTGTTTCTCAGGTGTTGTATGGCAAAAGTATTAAGCAAAATGTTACCAGGAGACAATTTATCAGCAGTAACAGAATTCTGACAAAATATCTGTAGTAGTGGAACTTGACAAAATTACCTGCGATGACCTTCAACAACTTTTGCCATATTACCATCATAAGTGGGGATAAAAATATCACTCTCCAAGGATACAATGTAATCTAATGCTGCCATCTGGGAGGAATGGTTCTGGAAAAACCTGAGATCTGAAGGCAATAATGTCTCTTTTCTCACCTGATCATCAACAATAAGGAATTAATTTTAGAAATATGGGACATGAAAAGAATGAAGTGCTAGTAAGCAATGGAGATGCTGAACTGACCACATTGGGATAAGCTGAGGTAAGGGCAGACATTCTTCTTTGCCCACCGTATATTTCACCAGCGGCAATGTATATTTGATAACTGCTATCAATGTCTAGTGCCTTTAATACCATTGCAGTCTCCTCCGGTGTTAATGGACAGAGCCCGTCGTTCCTCTTTGCATTTGAGTCAATCACCTTCTCTTTCCACCATGGGTAAGCATATCTTCCATTTCCCAACACAATCCATTTGTTAATACAGATGGCAAAAATAGTGCGAGAAAAATTTTAGGATGAAACTTATATACCTCATTCTTGTGAGCTCCTCAGCCTCCTCGTTGCTGCAACCATGTGTGCAACCAGAGAACGCGAGCATGTCCATTTCATATCGCAAGTGAAGAACCAGAAAAGGGCCATTACGACGAAGAATTCGAACCACACGCCTACCCAGCTCTTCTATCTCAGGGGTAAATCTCAATGCAGCAAAATTGACACGGCACCTCAATTTCTGAATCTCCATAGGTAGGCCATTATTTGCAAGGCGAGCATCAGTTTTGTTCAGATGAACGATCTTGTACTTCCTAATCAGTGGTAGAATCTGTTTTCCGCAAATAAACACTTACAATCCTCCCCTGATTTTTGCACATGATTTTCAGTTCATGATGAATACATCAACGAAAACGAGAGATTCACCAAACCTGATTTTGGTAATAAGATATATCAGACCAACTGACAGGTGGCATCGAGCGAACATATCCCAGTTCAACTCTTCTTTTCAGCCTTGGAGGCAGCTCTTTCAGTATCCGAACCTCGTCTCTCAATGATGATATGAAGTAATCCACATCAAATATATCCTTGAACTCACTGTAACAAAAGAACCAAAAGAGATGAATCAGGACCATTCTCAACTGAATTCTGGCAAGTGTCAACTGCATGAACAAGGCTCACCTAGGATCAGCCCAAAATGAAGTTTTGTCCAGTTCTGGGACGATAAGGGTGACGTTCAGGTATCTTGCAATCGTCACCATATCACATATCTGACACAAACAATCAAAATTCAGTACTTCCATTGACAGATTCAGATATACTGACTTGCAAAGCTGATGCATAATGTATTAGTAATGTATTCACAAACAGACATACAGCTGCTCGCATCTGGTTAAGCCCACCGTTGCAGGAGACCATCAGATAGCCATTGTTCTTGTAGATTCCTGGACATCGAATAAACTAAATCAAATAGAAGTCCATATTTCCATCAATAGCTTGAATGGTAGAGGCTCAAACAGAGTTAGAGTTAGCAGAACGCATGGAAGATATGAAACGATTATTGCAATCGATCAACCGGATTAGTCTGACATGAACTGATCGACTGAAACTAAATCACAACATGGATATGAACTGAATTGATCGCCAAACATTATCAGCAAGCTATACACAGAACTGATAAATCAACCTCCCAAATTGGAAACGAAATCATTTGTAATCCCCGATAATGAAGGGGAAGGGGAAAACATTTGCAGTAAATGCTGAAATATTCCTAACCAAACAGAGAAGGGAAGCCCAAAGCTCAAAAAATCAAAATCCAAAGAAGTAAAGGAAAGCGACGCCACGATCGACTTACTCTTCGGCGGGAGCGCCGCCACCGCCGCTTCCGATGCTGATGATTCTGCCCTCTCGCCGCGCGCCGCTGCCGCTGCCGATGCTGATGCAGCCGCCCTCTCGCTGCCCGCGGCGGCAACCGCCTCGAACCGGCGCTCTACGACGATCAGCGGCTGGGTGAGGCAGCCCGACCACCTCCCGAGCTCCCGCGACGTCGCGAGCAGCAGCGCGCAGCACAGCCAGAGCACCACGGTGGTGCTCGCCCGCGCCGCCCACACCTTCGCCCGCGCCGCCTCCCGCGCCTTCTCGGCCGCCGCCGCCGCCTTCACCCCGCCCCTGCGCATCTCATCCGAAGGCGCGCGCCGCCGCCCAAACAGCCGCACGCGCAGCACAGCACAGCACCCGGAAGGTCCTCGCACGCCGCGGTCTTGCGTGATCAAAGCTCTCTCTCTCTCTCTCTCTCTCTCTCTCTCTCTCTCTCTCCCTCTCTTTGCTATGGGCTCCTCCTCGCGTGCTTATCGCCTTCCTGTTGCTCGGCTCGCCGCCAAGCCAGGGTGGGCGCGGCGATGGCGACGGCTGCGTCGGCGGCGGCGGTGGCGGCCACCGGCGGCGAGGCGAGGCGAGGAGGAGGCGCGTGTCAAGACGTGCCGCGTGGTGGCCGCGGCCAGGTTGGCATATTATTTGTACACACACGGCGACACGGCGCTGTTCGAACAGCAAGAGAACCAGCCAAGTAGCCAACCCGTGCTGTGTGGACATGGTCCATAGACCAGAAGAATTCTGGTTAGTGGGCCCACATGGTCAGTGGGTGAATTGTAGGATACCAGTACTCGGGTTGGTTCATGGAGGGGTTCGAGTTTTGACTTCCGCACCAGCACTGTGGACCTCGTGATACTACTAACTCCGTCCCATAAGGATTTTGACGTTTTGATTGTACTATTCCCTCCGTTCTAAAATAAGTACAGTTTTACACTATTCATATTCAATGTTTGACCGTTCGTCTTATTTGAAATTTTTTTATTATTAGTATTTTTATTGCTATTAGATGATAAAACATAAATAGTACTTTATGTGTGACTAAATATTTTTAAATTTTTCGCAAATTTTTCAAATAAAACGGACGGTCAAACGTTGGGCACGGATATCCACGGCTGCACTTATTTTAGAACAGAGGTAGTATTTGATTATTCATCTTATTAAAAAAATTTAGAATTATTATTTATTTTATTTATGACTTACTTTATTATTCAAAACACTTTAAGCACAACTTTTATATTTGCACAATTTTTTAAATAAAATAAGTGGTCAAACGTTATACTAAGAAAATAGTAAATATCCCTTATATCAAGGGACGGAGGTAGTAGTACTTTGAAAACACTGACATGTGGGGCCAATACTAGATCCCTGGCCCCACATTTCAGTGGTTTTGCTTGGTTAAAAGGATTCTCAAATGGGGAGAGGAACTTGGCGCCGAAACTCTCATCCTAACTGGAAACTAATCAAACTATGGAGAAGGAAGAAACGTTCCTATCGGAAACAAGCTTCCACGACAAGGTTTTATTATTATTATTATTCTACTTTTCTAGAAGGATAAGCCGGTTTTTAGATGGAAAAGTCTAGCCCGAAGGAAATTCCTGCTAATTTGGTTGATAACAATAAGTATAGTTATTTTGGTAGAAGTAATGATGGTATTATTGTATAGTTATGGGTGCATGATTCTCGGGTCCTGGTGTCCACGAATTTCAGCGAGGCTAGGAATTTACAGTTGATTTTTATCTCTTTGAGAATGTGTTAATGTGCACATTCATGAATTACTTTAATCGGTGTATAATGATTTGAGAATGTGTTGAGGTGCACATTCATGAATTACTTTAATCAGTGTACAATGATTTGGGAATGTGTTAAGGTGCACATTCATGAATTACTTTAATCAGTATATAATGATGTATGTGCATATGGGTATTTCATGTAATTGGAAAAAAATATTACCTCCGTTTTTTAATAGATGACGCCGTTGACTTTTTCTCACATGTTTGACCATTCGTCTTATTCAAAAACTTTATATAAATGTATAAGATATAAATCACACTTAAAGTACTATGGGTGATAAAACAACTCATAATAAAAATGTTGTTTTTAAATAAGATGAATGGTCAAACATGTAAGAAAAAAATCAACGGCGTCATCTATTAAAAAACGGAGGGAGTAAATAGCTATTTTAGTTTGCGATTTATATTTGTCGAGATTTTGTTAGATTAGTCTACCGTTCAAACCATCGTTCCAAGCTTTGAACGCCATAGATTCGGCATACAAGTAGTACTCACAGAAAAAAAAGAGAGATTGGTGTTAGAAAACTCTGAAACTGCCTTGCACAATGCATTAAACGCTGATATTACCAGAAGATTTATTATGGAGACATCGAGACGCGTACTCCAAATCCACGATAACAATCGCATGGCATACACCAGCCAACACGGCGTCTTTCACCGAGCAAAACGGTGGCCTACAATGCCATGACAACTACTACACCCATGAGACGGAAGAAGGCGCGCACGAGAAGCAAAGTAGCTTATCCCAATCAGAACCATGCAATCAAAATGGTACACACTTCAAATTGTTTACACATCCAATCTACGAAAGTTACGTGTCCTCTGAACTCAAACCAAGCGTATCGATTCTCTGATTTAAGAAAAATCAAGTGTGTCTCCTTCGACCTGTGCAGCTAACGGAGGAGCCAGACAAGCTTCTTGGCGGTGGGAGAACTTGGGGCAGTACTCCTCCCGTTCGGCTTATCGTGTCCTCTTCTTCGGAAGAACTCGCTTCCAACACGCGCCGATTTGGAAATCTTTCGCGCCCCCTCGGTGCCGTTACTTCCTTTGGCTGGTCGCGTTGAACCGTTGTTGGACGGCGGACCACCTCTAAAGTCGTGGATTGCCTCACCCGGACCGCTGCCCACTCTGTGATCAAGGTCCCGAAACAATTGATCATCTCTTGGTCGCTTGCCCGGAATCGCGGCAACTTTGGTGGATCGCTCTTAGTGTTATCGGCCATGCCGAATGCCTCCCGCTCAATGAGCGGTCCTTCCACGGCTGGTTGTGTGACAGCCGCAAGAAGTTGACCAAGGATCATCGCCGGGGTTTCGACACCATCGCCACGCTGGCAGCTTGGACAATTTGGAAGGAAAGAAACAATCGGGTCTTTAACCAAGAAAGCAGAACCTAACCGGAGATCACTAGGGCGATGTCAGGGGAAGCGGACCTTTGGCGGATGGCTAGGGTAGCCATTCCGGTCATGGTAGTTCCTTCATTTGTTCACGGGTCGCCAAATTCCTTAGGAGATTAGGATTTATGTTTTTTCCCCCTTCTGTACCCTGTACCCTGTCCCCTTCTCTTTTAAATTGTTTGGCCCTCCTGTAATTACATTTACTCCTCCTTAATACAAAAATGGGCGTCTTGCGTATTCCCGAAAAAATCAAGTGTGCCAATCATGGCTATTGGATACATGCAAGACAAATCATGAAATCGAAAACCAAAGTGAAACACGGAGTAGATCAGCACTAGAAAAAAAAATGGAAGCAATCAGAGGCCATTCATCGCATTTTCCAACAAGGCCATGATGGCGCAAGCGTGGAGGTGTGGAACCCATGGAGAAACACGCCTGGTCGAGTACTGCATGAGAAATTTTGCAGATAGAAAAGAGTGATCTCATGTCGAAATTGGCTTGCTTCTCGAAATACTTCGATTTAGATTTGGAGTAGTTGCCTTAAGAGGCTAAAGCACCTGCACCTGCAAGCAATCAAGGAGTCAGAAAACTCAGCAGCTGCTGCCTGGCCCTGGCACATGAAAATGGTGTGGACCGAGTGACAGAATGGTATGGAAATAGCTAAAGCTCGTGTTACCACTTGCCAGACAAAAAGGGCTAAGTAAATGGAATGATCTGAACATTTGGATTTGTTTTAACTGTATATTAGTTGTTTATATCACTGATCCATACGCACCAACACCTAATTTTAGATAAGTGCACCGTGCACTACAAGTCTTAATAATTTACATCGCTATAGAAAACTAAATCTTTAACAAGGATAAGATCAGAGAAATGTGCTCAGTACGTTTTAACAAGTCATATGAAGTAGCTGGATAGGCCATGTGTATCTCGCAGATATGGACTACATCACAAAATGTACATATGAGTGTTACATGCAATCTGATGACGCCTCAAGGAAGCTTGTTAAAAGATGGTTTCATTCAGATGAGCAAAAAATAAGAAAGGAACAGACAATAGCCTGATATATCATGCAGAAGTCAAAAGTGACATCCACTCTCTACTTTTTTGCGGGGGCTCAAGTAGCTCTGTATTTAGCACCATCAACATCACCTATCATGTTGGAAGGTCAACTTGGTCATAATTCATCATGAATTGGTGATGGATCTCCTTCGAAGAAATCAATTTGATGTAACCAATAGTGCTTTAGCATAACATTTATTGTGAGAAAGGCTAGATAATCAGAATACAAGATACCAGATATTTTCAACCGCTGTAGTAACATTTTATTGATGCTACTACCGCAGATAGTGCAGGCTACTGACCTTTGATAGCGGAGCAGTTGATCTCCTGTCTTAAGAAAAACACGTGCTACCCTGAGAGCACAAGATAACAATCTGCTCATCTCACCTAACAGTCTGCGATGCAGAAAATTACAAAAGCACATGCTCTTCAACTAATAAAGGACTATGAGCTGCCAGATCTTACCACAATGTAATCAGTTTCTGCAGTCATATGTCACACTTGCACAAAACATTGAAGCGTAGAAAGCCCTGAAAACTATCACACTATTTTGCAGCTGTCATTGTCATCCAACCCCAAGGCTTTCATGAGAAATGCATACTCAAAAGCTGTCTCATCGCAATGCATGAAGCGTCCACCCTCACCAAAATGACCACTTTGCATATTAGTTTTGAGAATGACAGACCAGGAACAGGATTGGCATGTAATATCTCTCACTTTTGAAACCCATTTAGCAGCTTCCCAGACTCCTACCCTGAAAGTAAAAGAAAATGAGAAATTCAAGGATTTACGAGAAAATTAATAGTGATTTGAGCTGAAAGGAGAAATAATAGAAAAGATGAGCTGGCAGTCAAATGCAGAACAAGCTTGATCCAAAGTGTACGGAAATGAATCTCAAGAGTAGCAAATGGAGTAGAGCAAAACCTTGTATCATTAAATGAGGCAGTTACCAGAACCGGTGGGTAGCATATGTCAGGAGATAAATTGTCATAAGGAGAATAACTACGAATAGTATCAAATTCAGTGGAGATATTAGGGTCACCAAATTCTTCATAATCCAAGATGGTTAGAGGCAAAGTAGAATCCATCATTGTATTGCAGATATCAAGAAAAGGGACCTGTTTACAAAATCATGTTACTAATAATGTATGAAAGACCAGACACATAATTTACTAGCAGAAATGAACATCGTAGAGACAATAAAGGCATAATGAAATTCCATTACCGCTTGAATTATTTACTGTAGTCCAGGAATTTTCTTCTCTTTTGAGTAGCAATGTATTGACACATTAGAAGATGATGTCAAAGATTTACCTTTAGAACTGCAGCAGAAAATAAATCCGGCAGCATATTGATGACTGCACCAACCAACAGGCCACCAGCACTGCAACCTATAGCACAAAGTCTATTTTTGTGAACAAATCCTTCCTTGATGAGATGTGTACCACATGCAGCAAAATCTTTGATAGAATTTATCTTGTTAGCTTTGGTGCCTGCAAGATGCCATGATGAATCCCCACCACCCCTGCACGATTAAGCTCAAGAACCACAATCAGCATGCAACACAAAAATTGCAGTTTCCAATTAAAAAGGTATTACATTACTTTGCTTTAATAAAGAATATCAAAAACAAAATGAATTAAAACAACTACATTATTCTGTTGTGGCAGCTAGGATCATTCTACATGCAACTTTTCAGCTCAAACTCCATGCAGACCATTCAAAGTTCTGTACCTTGTAACTCCACTGGATTAAAAGGAAAATAAAAACTAGAACTAGAAGACTCTAAATAGGCAGTTTTCATAATTCTGGTAGGTTACTCTTGAGCCCTTGACTCCTTTCTCCCTCGAGAGAGGGATCACCGAATGTCCAAACCTACTATATTGATAGGAATAAGAAAGCTGGGATTCCTTGCACAAGAATAAACAATGCCTGAAATCCCGATTCATCAAATGAAAAGGCACAGCTCAAAATGTAGCAACAGGGCAAAAGGACAAAATAGGAAATACTGAAAGATGATGGAAAGTGCAGATATGTAAGCTTAATAGAAACTATACCTAACGTCTGCAAATGCGACAACCCAACCTCGAGCAAGCAGACTTAACCTATCAGAACACCAGCTCTTGTCCAGATCTTCTCCATAAGCTCCATATCCATACAAGACGCCAGGTGATTCTCCACGACGATGTGCTTCCCGTGAATACAGGATCACTAAAGGTACTGAGACACCATCGTGTGAAATAACTTGGACCCTTTCACAAGAAAATAGCTTGGATAGATCACTCCAACTCTGTGAGTCTTCAATAAGCTGAAGGTTTTGTTGGATGCCTGTAATATTGGATTGCAGCCCAACTGTGCATAGATTTGAGGAAAGGCCAGTTACTTCCTCTTGGTGAAGGATTGCAAATGTCCTCATTCTCATGTTATAGTCCACTGTTAAGTCTGGAAGCTACAGTAAGAAAATTAAAGATTATGGAAACAAAATTTATCTCTGGCTTCAGTTATCCATCGCTTGCATTGTAACATCAACTTGCTCAATTAACACAATAAGTATTGCAAGTAGACAGAATTTATTGTGAAACTCTTTTTCTTTTAATATTTTGGGTTGTATGGTTAGTGCCATTGTGTGACACTACGTGAACATAAAGAGATAGCCCATGTCTGAATGTGCACAACAGAATTTCATGGGATCTACAATATAAACTGCAGCATCAAATCCTGGACAGCAAGTCATCAAGAAAACAAGAGGTAACATAGGCATGGAATAAAGAATCTCCATTCATGCAGAAAGTATAACAAAGTAAGGGCAGGAATGACTTACCACTGGTGATGACAAAACCAGACGATAAGTAGATGACATGAAGTCATTGTTGGATCCAGGAACAATGCTGCATAAGTCTGACGGTACAGGGAAAAACCATGGATCAAGATCATCAAGTTCCTTTTGCTCCTACAAATCACATTAGTAACAGTATCAAATATTTGAACATAATAAAACAATCAAAGAGCATAATAGAACAAATCTAACATTGAAAATCAAAGTACTTGTCAGCTAGAAGACTAGAAGTGCGTTAGATGAAGCTACATGGTCCTAGATGATTCATTGCATTCAACAAGCAGGTCTTTCAGTGAGCTAAATCATTAAAATGTTATGGTCCAAAAACAAAGTTGCCTATTAAATGTCTTGCTCACCTCAGTACAAGCAAATTGTATAACAAATTTAACAAGAGCTGAGCCAAAGAATATACCTGAAAGTCAACATCAATTGGCAAATTGATGGAGCAAATAAGAGGAAGACCGCTTTTTCGAATAAATAGAACTAATTGTTCATGAAAAATGTCCATATCCTGAAAGGTATAATATGATCCAGGGAGTGCAACAACCTAGAAACAGCCATTGAAACACCAAAATTTAAAAAGTAAGGACTCTGATTTCTCGCGATATTAGAATCAATCTTTACGAGCCAGGAAATGAAATACCCATGATACAGATTATTAGATTAGTGCATTAAACTAAACTTGTACATTTCACAGGATCGGCTTTCATTGGCATCATTAGACGGAAAGAAGAGCTAGTAATCATTGCTCTACTTGCTGCTTTAATGTATGTACTCCAATCAACGCAGCAGATTTTCAAAGTGTGGTGGGGACAATTCCTTAAATTTGACTTTCTTCATCAGATTTGCAATGTGGACAGGTGATTCCCCCCCCCCCACTCTTTCCCTACAAACACATACACGCACGCATGTAAGGCCAGGCAGAGACAGAGAGAGAGATAGACCTGCCATTTATCCATTTCTGACTTTTCAGCTCTGCACCTGGCCAGGTAGTAACCACCATTTGCTGTTTCAGTACCTTCTAAGGGTGCATTAGTAAGGATGTAGAAAAACCCATTATGATGCTCCAGAAAGTACTGCACTTTGTCAGAACGTTTCTGTACGGGCCATAAGCCACCTCTTACATGACCAGACTCCATCACGTACACCTGCAATGACATGACCACATGAGAAGAAATAAGAGTAAAAGAGAAACAAAGTGGCGTGAAGGTGGCAAAATGCATTTTAGATGAAAAGAGCTGAAAAAGAAACCTTCCTCGGATGATGTCCTAGTGTTTGAATTGATAGTGACATACTTGAAATCTTTTGTGCTTGTGATATCCACACAACAGTTTATATCTTTCTCCATGAAAACCAAAAAACCTGCCTGATCTGATTGCAGATCTTTACAGAGAACCCTATAACATGCAAACATATCAAAAACATCAAACGTATCCTTACAAGTTTCATAAGCTTATCAGACATTGATTTTTGCAGGAAAGGGAAATTACTGATTAGGTCGTAGAGTCTCATCACAGACTGTGTAAAATAAGTTGTCGCTGTTGCGAGACCATGCTAAGCTAACTATTCCCTTGTGGGGTGAACAAAAAATGGTGTTTGTCGACTGAATATCTTTCACTTCTAAGGAAAAGAACTCATCCCCAGATATATCAAGAGTATATGCGAGAAACCTATGATCAGGAGAGATTCGACAACTCCCGATGTGCACATAACCTGCATAAGTTTCAAGACCAAATGATGAACTTTTCATATCTAGGTAAATAAATAATCCTTACTATGATGATTAGTAATGAGTAGCTTAATTTGTTAAGCATGCAGAGTCCAGACAATACTGCATAAATATAGCACACACCAAATTTTTCTGCAATCTCATTCCAGTCAAGCAACACCTGCTCCTTTTTTGAACCAGAAATGAAATCAAGGGCAGCTCTTGCTAGACCACCAGAAGACCTCAATCTTCTGGATAAAACTGGGTATTCCTTACCCTCTGGAACATACTGGTAATATAACCTGGATCCACAGAGCAAGTTATGTTATAATTCTGGATTTACAGTATGAAATGCTCAATTCAAATAAGAACAGTATATTAAATGGTATCATTTAACTTGATATAAAAATATTGCAGCAACAAAACATAATATAAAGCTCTTTGGTTTCCTGTCTTATATTTGAACTTGTTTCCAACCATAGACATATACACAGAATGTGATATCTCCAAGAAAACTAGGCCTGATCAAACCAATAAAAACATGTCCTCACTAGCATGTAAAATTTCGATTTGCAACGCAGCCTTCCATCTGACATAATCAAAAGAGCCAAAAATGGAAGCGCATTTCAGTGGTGCAAAGGCAAGTAAAACAATCTCAGTATATTACACTACAAGGATTGGAAAACCAACCGTAACGTTACACTGGAACAGTTAACTCATTTAAGCACACAAAAGCAAAAGGCAATAATAAAACAGATCGCTCCTGAGTGTCCTTCAAAATAACTCTACATCCCAATGCAGCCAAGCCAGTCAATATCTGGCTTAGCTATGCAAAAAATGAAATAGATGCATAAATCTCAACACTACAGAAGCAGCCAGAGGTTTGTGAAACTACAGCAACTGCTATTCATGTAGACTTACGAGTGTTTCCATCACAGAATCAGCCTCACTCCTAGGTCCAAACGAATCCGCAAAGCTAACACCATAGAATCATCCCAAATGCGTAAACCTCAAAACTACAAAATCAAAAGTTTGTGAAACTACAGTAACTGCTACTATTCCCGTAGATTTGTGCATTGTGTTGTGTTTACATCACTGAAGCAGCTTCACAATCACAGGCCATAGCTAAATTAGGTATAGCGGCGATACAGTTCCAATCCACACAGTGCGTGCGTGACCAAACTACAGTACCAAACGGAATGGAGCAATACGAACCAGGGGCCCCAGGGCTGAGGCGGGGAGGCGGCGGAAGGGGGCAGCCGCGCGCGCATCTCGGCCGCGAGGCGCGCGCGGAGGCCGCCGCCGCCCTCGCCGGCGGAGTCGACGAAGGCGTCCGCGTAGGCGTTCTCGGCCTCGAGGAGCGCCGCGAGGTCGGGGTCGGAGGTGTCGCGCATCCAGTGGTAGGGGTCGCTCCACGACCTCCCGTGCGCCGACGCCGTGAAGGGGACCTTCTTCGCCACCGGCGGCGGGAGCGGGAGCGGGGCGGGGCTCGGATGCTGCGGCGGCTGCGTGGGGTGGCCGCGGCGGCAGGAAGTGGAGAAGAGGCGGAGGACGGCGGGGAGGTGGTGGCGCCGGCGGAGCATCGCGCCGGCGCGGCCGCGGGTCGACGGTTTTTCGGTTTTGCGCTGTTTGCTCGTTGTGAGTAGAATGGGTTTGGTGCAGAAGAGGGTTTTTGACGGGTTTATTAGGCATATCCTTTTGGAATGGATAAATTTCAAACGAATTTCTGTGTAGCTGTGCTAAATTATAAAATCTTCTTTTCAGATAGCTTTTTAGTGTATAGTGGAGTAGTTATTTAATTAATTGTCTAATAATTCGATACGGATGTTCTTGTTTGTAAATGATTTGATAATCTAAGACATTTTGTAAATATTCATAAACGGTTTTTTCCCTAATTTTTGAAAAATATCTTTAGTTATAAATCAAAATATGGTTCAGTAATAACATTCGTTGGGAGAAAAACACGAGCTAACATGGTTGATACAAGCCTTGTTTAGTTCGCGGAAAGAAAATTTTTTGGTGTCACATCGGATGTTTGACCGGATGTCCGAAGGGGTTTTTTACACGAATAAAAAAACTAATTTCATAACTCGCCTGGAAACCGCGAGACGAATTTGTTGAGCCTAATTAATTCATCATTAGCACATGTAGGTTACTGTAGCACTTATGGCTAATTATGGACTAATTAGGCTCAAAAGATTCGTCTTGCGATTTCCCCTCACTGTGCAATTAGTTTTTATTTTTATCTATATTTAATGCTCCATGCATTTATCCAAAGATTCGATGGGATGTTTTTGGGAAAAAAAATTGGGGAACTAAACAAGGCCACATATGTATTGAGTTCGCTAACATACAAATATAACTCGTTTTTCCTATTTTAATTGTTAGTTATACCTACCTGAAATCCATATGTCTGACATAATATATTAGGTACATTTAACTGTCACTCTTAAAAGAACTTCACTATCAAGGTCTGCGAAAATACCATTTAACGTTAACGTGATGGAACTCGTAGATCCTAACAATTGGGAGCCATGATATAGCCATCTATTGTTCCATACTCATTTCCTTGACATTTGACATGATTTACTTTAAATATGTCTTAAAATATAAATTTGTATTTATATATTATAGTTTAGACGGGTTGAGTTGGTATAAAAAAACTACATCCAATATCATAAAAACATTGTTCAGCTACAACATTAAAATGGTGTGATTTTCATACAAACGGTTTATGGTTTGCGAAGATCTAATTTGCATGTTTGGTTGCACGGCATAGCAAATGCTATGATAAGTTCATGTTCTAATTTGAAGGTGTAAATAAATAACCCATTCTTTTTAGCTTATAGGCTTATGAACTATGTATATAACTAACGAGTCACGGTTTTCCTGAAAACTTTAATAAGCACTTGTTAGCTAATTCCGCACTCTTATATTTTCTTATTTATCTATTTTTTTCAATCATGTGTTTTAAAGAGTCCACCTATGGGTCCGTTTATTTCCCAAACAAAATTTGTCACGCTGTTACATCGAATACTTGGACACATGCATAAAGTATTAAATATAAAATAAACCACTTACACAGTTCGTCAGGAAATTGCTTGACGAATCTTTTAAGTCTAATTGCCCATGATTTGATAATGTGGTGCTACAATAAACATTTACTGATGACGGATTAATTAGGCTTAATAAATTTATCTCATAGTTTTTTTAACGGAATTTATAATTTGTATTGTACTTTAAATATATGTCCGTATATTCGATGTGACATGTAGGAGTAAATTTTTTTACCAACTAAACAGGTCCTGAGAACTCAGACGCTATGACGAAACATTAAAACAGAGGGGATGTATCGTGTACAGTAGTATTTCGTACAGTGACGAGTACTTCGCGAGTACGTGTAGTACGGCCCGCGTGCAGTGGATTTCGCCTGCCCAGTGTGGTCTGATCGAAGACCTGCTTCCGCATGCCGCGTGCCTTGCAATGCATGGAGATGGAGTCCTCCGTATGGGGTATGGCCGAAACAGCCGTTGTTTCCTCGCAATAACGTTCTGCGCATGTTCCGTCGTCGTTGTGATCGATACACGCCGTACCGCGAGTCTGCGACGCGCCGCGCGGGAGAGAGAAACAAATAAGACACACGACTCACGAACACGTCGAGAACGAAGCTGACGACGACGACGATCCGAGCCGCCGTGCCGTGGCGGTGGCGGTGGCCATCTCCCACACGCAGCGTGGATGGCAAAGAGTCCCATGTCTCCACCCATATGGCTCCCACGATCCCGTCACGTGGCTCCACCAACCCCAACCTCACACGCCTAAGGCCTAATTTACTTACAATTTTTTTCTTCAAATTTCTAACTTTTTCATCACATAAAAAAAATTTACACACAAAAACTTTTAATTTTTTTATCACATCGTTTCAGTTTTAATTAAACTTTTAATTTTAACGTGAACTAAAAACACCTTAACTCGGGGGACCCACGCACACGCCTCGCTCGCACCGGCACACCGCAGATGCACGCACCAAGATGCACGGCACAGGCTGCAGTGCAGCCGTTCGTCACGTCCACCAGCCAGAGGAGCCGAGTCGTCGTGGCGTTTCGCACCCGAGCAGCCGCGCATCCGTCCGTGCCGGCGGTGCCCGGGCGGGCCCCCCATCAAGGCGGAGAGCATCGCCATACTACTATACGACACGAGAGAGATAAGGGTCATGGTTAGTTCCGACTTTTCCGTCACATCAAACTTTTCTACACACAAACTTTCAACTTTTCTGTCACATCATTCTAATTTCTTCAAACTTCCAATTTTACTGTGGAACTAAACACAACCAAGATTTGGTTAGGAAGCTTAAAATTCTACTCCCCCCGTCCCAAAATGTTGTTGTAATGGGATTTGACCCATCCTAAAGCAACGAATCTAGACAACTCTATCTAAATTCGTTGTTCAAATTTAGATTTTAGGACGGATGAAGTAAGAAACATTTAGGCTACGTTCGGTTGCAGGGGTTCCCAACCCCTCTCCCTTATTTTCCGCGCGCACGCTTTCCAAACCGCTAAACGTTGTGTTTTTTTTAAAAAAAAATTATGTACGAAAGTTGCTTAAAAATTATATTAATCTATTTTTTAAAAAATAGCTAAAACTTAATTAATCGCGCGTTAAACGCTGCTTCATTTTACGTGCCGGGAAATAAGGGTTCCTAACCCTCACTCCCAAACACAGCTTAGTTGAGAGCAAGTTTAATAGTGTAGCCCACTACTGCTCCAATTCATCTATAGCCAATTTAATACTCAATTCATACGATAGTTGCTTACTACACTATTAATATATGGTCTCACCTGTCATACACACATTACGTCTTGGAGTCCGTGCTGCAGTTGGCTACAGATCTGTAGCCCGCTGCTCTTCTCTCTACTCATTTATCTGCTTAAAATATGTTTGCAGCTGGCTTATAGTTATACCTGCTCTGATAGCCAGTGTTTTTCAATTAAAACAACTAGATTATTCGGTTTCTAACTTTTAATTTATTTTCTAAATTCTACCACTACAATATTTAAAAATACTAAAAATTAAACTGTTTACGAGAGCTTTTATTCTACTAGAAGAAAACTCCCTGAACAGGTGTAGGGAGTCCCACGGTAACATCCGAGTGGGGTAGGTCACGTTGGCACGTAGCGGCTGGGTCCATCCATGTCCATGAGGCAGTTGGGGGACTTGGGGTACGAGACGGACGGACGCGTACGGCACCGCCCCCCCTCTGGAAGGACAGAAACCTCGGCGTCCGCGCGGTGGTAAGTCTCCTCGTCCTAGCCGCCTAGTAGGAGTAGTAGTAGTAGGCCGCGTTACTCGTTCGTCGTACACCCGTACAGTCTACTTGCCCCCCCCGTGTCGCAACTCGCAACTGTGGCGCACGCACGCACGCCTACCGGCTCCGCTGTTCACACCCCCCGCACGTAAACCCGCGACGCCGTCACGACTCACGATGGTGAAAACACACCGTAGAAATGGCCGAGACGCGACGCGACGCGACCTGCTCCCTCCACCGACTCCCGTGGCAGCGGTCGCCTTAAGAGCGGGAGCGGCTACACGGCTACGAGGACGAACACCTCGCCTGCACTGCACCGACGAGAGAGCGCGCGCGCGTGTTCGTCCGAGCTTTTCTGCGGGCGCGCATGCAGGAGGCGGGGCGACGGCCGGCGCCGCAGTTCGCGGGCGTGGACCTCCGCCGGCCGAAGGGGTACCCGGCGGCGGCGCAGCTGACGCCGGCGGCGGAGGAGGCGGCAGCCGGCGTGGGCGACCCGTGCCCGCGGTGCGAGTCGCGGGACACCAAGTTCTGCTACTACAACAACTACAACACGTCGCAGCCGCGGCACTTCTGCAAGTCGTGCCGCCGCTACTGGACCAAGGGCGGCTCCCTCCGCAACGTCCCCGTCGGCGGCGGCTCCCGCAAGAGCTCGACTTCCTCCTCCTCCGCCGCCGCCGCCGCCGCCTCATCGTCGTCGTCGCCTTCTTCGCCAGCCAAGAGCCCCAAGCGCTCCAAGAACTCCAAGCGCCGCCGCGTCTCTCCGCCCCCTCCTCAGCCCGTGCCTGCGCCGCCGCCGCCCACCACCGCCGACGCTGCCGACGTAGCCGCACCGACGGCACCAGAAGCCACAACCAAGAAAGCCCCGGAAGACCTCACCGCGGCGGCAGCGACACAGCCGGCGGTGGCGCTCGGGCTCGGCGTCGCCGACGGCGGCGGCGGCGGGAAGGAGCACCTGGACACGAGCCCGTTCGAGTGGCCGTCGGGCTGCGACCTCGGGCCGTACTGGCCAACCGGCGTGTTCGCCGACACCGATCCATCACTGTTCCTTAACCTGCCATGACAAGCCTCTCCCGGACGAACGAGAGGATGGTTAGCAAAAAACTTCCAAGTTTTATCGATCAAGTTCTTGATTTCACCTCTGCTCCATCTCAGTTTCATCAGATTCTAGTTTATTTTCCAATCCAAATGCTAACTTAGGAGGAAGATGAACGAACTATGTAATTATTAAATCTGAGCTACAAGATTTATTATCACTTAAGTTTGCAAGGATAATTATCTCCGATGTATGTGTGAATTTGTTATTGTATTAAAGTCGGCGATATCACCCATCACACGACATGAAATCATCAAGTACTAGTACTACTAGATAAGATGACGAGATAAGCTTAGACGAAATGACTCGAGTTATCGATCGGCAATGGAGAGCATGGGGGATCTGTTCGTTCGGTTAGACGTCGGCGTCGCGGGGAGAGAGAGAGAGGGCTTTAAATTGCGGGGCGGCGTGGCGCCGAGGCCGACGGCGACGCGCGCGCGGCGGGGGGGGGGGGGGGGGGGGGGCGGGGCCCGGGCGTGATTCCGACGGCGACGGAGGTGCGGGCGGTGTCATGGTCAGGTCGATTCGTCGTCGTCGTCTCGTCCGTTCCGCGCCCGTGTGGCGCGACGTGCGCGCGGTGGGGGCGGCACCGCATCGCCGTGTGAGGACGGCGACGTGGCGCGGGGCCGTACGTGTCCCCGGCGCGCGTCGGGGCGTGCGTGCCCTTCGCTATTCGCCGGCTGGCTCCCGCCGACGTCGACCGTACGTTGGCGTCTGGTATCGAGGTACCACAGTACGAGATCGGTACGAAATAAAACGGGATCGCCTTTACTGTTTCACCAGGTGACCGAAAATTGAGAGGTCACCTAGCCCAGGTCGTTGTATCTCACAAGTCCAAAATGGCTAAGATAAGTAATAGTGTGTTCAGCCTCTGAACGGGGGAAGGCACCAACTAAGTCGGCGACCTCCGAACTCTAGCAGGTTTCACGGATTAGGTTTTCATGGTTAGAACTTTGTAGGAGGGATAGGGTGACTATTATAGGGATGGTGGGCGGCGAGATGTCAAAGCAGTGGACAAGATCGGTGGCGAGGGCAAGAGAAGCCTCGTGGGCGGAAAACGGCATCTACGTAGGCAAATCTATCGGCGTGTTCGACCGAATACGGGGGAGGAGATGCGACATGGAGGAGTCACTGGACTTGGAGACAACAGATCTAGGAAGGAGGAGTTGGGAGGTGTCGAGAAGGGCGTGTGACTAGCTAGCGCCACCTCTACATTAGTATCGGCGAGATGGAGGTCTGAATCCTAGTGGGTTGGGGTGGGATGAGACAGAGTAAATGAAGATAATAGATAGTGCTAGGCTTATAAAAGACTGCACTAATTTAAAAGCAATCGTGAAATTCTTGACCGTTAAAAGGTTAATAAGAAAAATAAAACCAGTTGAAAAAAAACAGCCACCTAAGATCGTATGGAATGCATTCAATCGGAGAAACTTGCTTAGTTTATTATACACTTATATAGCTGAACTGTACTTGCGTGACATTCTTGGTTAGTGCTTTCAAAACTAAGCGTTGAGAGACTTGAATTAGTCTCGCTTTCAATTATCGATATTAATATATTTTTAATTATTTAAATAAATAATCTACTCCAAATTTCTAATTTTGAGAGGTCAAAAGTATAATTGTTGTAGTTAAAACAATAATAAAAAAACCCCGATCATAGTTATAGGACGGAATGAGATTATTGTATACAGAAGAGAGAATTTTATTTATTTTGCTTTCAAAATATTCATATTAGGGGCCTATGGCCAGGTCATACACCTCCACAAGTTAATAACCACACCCATTTTCTACCGACAAATTTCTTTAATCACTATAAAATCATTCAATGGAATGTTGGATGTTGACATGACCCAAAACATTTCCTCCCCCTATCACCCACTAGCCGATCTCTTCATAAAATAGAAACAAAACAAAATAATAAAATCAGGGCAAAATCTCCTTTTGATAGTGTGATATGCGCTCCACTACAAAACATCCCTTGGGTCCACGGCTCAGGCAGAGTAAGAGTAGTGGCCGTGCAGTGCAGTGAAGCCCGCGCCGCGCCGTTTCACGGGTCCACGACGCCGCCTGGTGGAACCGGTCCACCGTTCACGGCCACCGCCACCGCGGGCGCAGACGCCGAGGCGCGCGCGGCCTCGCCGGAGAAGAGGAGGAGGATGGCGGAGAAGGCGGTGGGGCACGGGCCCAGGACGAGGATCCGCGGCGGCGGCCTCGCCGCCGCCCCCACCGCGCCCTCCGCCGCCGCGAGGTTTTGTCTCGCCTCCCACTCCTCGATCTGCATTTTTCTACTAGCGGGGTTTCGATTTGAATTTGATTTTGGAAGCTTTGTTTTGAGATGCAGGAGGCTGTCTGCGGTGTCGTACACGGCGGCGCCGAATCTGACCAAGAAGGTGGGTTTTTCGTTATTTTTTTTTATTTTTTTTGAAAAATCTTTGATTCTTTTTTGGGGCTTTTGGAATCGCTTCTTTGTCTGGTCAGTGAAATGGTGGGTTCTTGTGTTCAAAGCGTGAATCTTTACTTTACTTTGTTACCGATGAGCAGTAGTACAATATGTGTGAAAAATCTGATGCCACTGCACAAAATGGATAGTGTCTACTGTTCTAACTGAAAGTATGTATGCTTGTTGGTGTTGTCTCAAGTGATTGATCTCTCCTAACCATCTTCGTGTTCAGGTTCCTGACCCGAAGGTTGTGAAGCCAGCCAGGAAAACGACGCCGGTCAAGAAGCGGCCGCAGGTAGATCAGGCGCAGAAGCAGAGAGAAGAGCTTGCCGCTTTGCAGGAGCAGCTGAGTGGCCTGCAAAAGAAGTTGCTTGAGAAAGATGAGGCCCTGAGGTCGGCTGAGCACTTGATTAGCCGAATCAGCGCGGCGAATGCAGCGGTCGATGAACTGAGAGGGCAGCTTACTGAGAAGGAATCGCAGATTGAATCCACCGGATCAGAATTGCATGGTGCAAAGGTGAATTAAGATCTGATTTTATACCATTGGTATTGCACTGCAGATATATACCATTATAAACTACTAATGCATCTATCAGTTGAAAAGACCTTTTGTTGAAGAAAACACCACAATACCACATTAGCTATGAAATTATCTTTAGAGCCCTGATGCCAGCAAAAAACGTGATCACTGAATGGCATAAGCTTTTGTCTGCATTACATATGACCATATTATGCGTAATATCTAGAAGTAAAATTTTCAAACATTTTCTCACACCATACAGTTTTCATAAAAGAATGTGATGTAGCCCAAGTGCCCAACTGTCTAGTATCATCTTTAAAACAGTCTAATCTGAAAATAGGTTGTTACGTGTACATCATCTTTTCTAAGCCCATTCCAGTTTAGTTAGTCTGTCCTTTTGTCATCCATAGTGGATTCATTTGTTGGACTGCACTGAACAAATGAATTTTTGATATGCTGATTTGAGGTTCTAACTACACTACTGCATGGCATTCAATGTGGATGCTCCTTTGGATTCAACAAATACAGGTGCAAGCATGGAATTGGTCTCTATTTGTGTATTTTTACTTGATTAGAAAGATATGTTCCCACCACTGTGTATTAGTGCTGTTCAGAAGATTCTTGTGTGTTTGTCCTTGTCTTTAACTTCAATTGGCAGACTATAAAAAAGAAGAAAAAAGAACATTGCTCTTTGCATTTTAATTTATCTTTGTTGTAGTGCTATATGGGAATATCAAGCCTGATTATTCTGAAGTGCATATTATTCCTGTTCTTGCCGTAATATAAATTGCTAAGTATGCAGTGTAACATCATGTGGAACCAACATTGTGTGCGTGTGTTCTCACTTGATAACATTTTTTATTATAACAGTGTTTAACACTTGCTGATTGAATGTTGTTTGCTGTAGATTCAATTGGCAGAGAAACAAGCTGCACTGGAGAAGTTAGAGTGGGAGGCAAAGGTTTCAAGTACAAAAGTCGAAGAGCTCCAAGTAGATGTGGCGTCTATGGATGTTGAAATCTCTGCGTTAATGAAGCTATTTAGAAAAATAACAGAAAACGACCGAGCCCCTTACTCGAGGGAGAGAGCCGATGATTCATCTTTGGAATGTGAACCGGTTCAACTTGACGTAAGCTCATTTTTTCCTTGTTATAGTTTCCTTTCGCTCTTCAACCCAAAGTACGTCATGTAGTTTTACCACCTCTTTGATGAGCGATTGTTTTTCCTCAATACAATTGGCTAAACGTCCTACTTGATATGGGCAGGATATGGTTGGTGACATCGACATGGAGAAGATGGAGCAGGAAATGTCTGCATACGCTACAGCTCTCGCTGCCGCGAAAGACAATCCTACTGACGAGTTCTTGAAGGCAGTAACAGAGGCAAGACTAAGACTCCAAGCCTTCGTACTCTAATTTGGATTGAAGCACTGACATGCCCTGTACTACCTGAAGGAGTAGCTCTATTTTGATGGGCCATCATGTGTTATGCGGGTGTCATAATGCATCTAAACTGACAGCTCTTGCTTCCTGGATCTCACATTTCAAAAAGATCCATGTTTGCGTTCTGTCGGTCTGGGTCTGTCTGATGATGCCACTGAGCTTGTTATTGTTGTAACTTTGTAAGCTAAGAACCGTATGACACTATGACCGAACATCTGAACATCTTAGTAGATGTCACACCGTGTACCATTTTAGTGAAGGGTGAACAGAAGGTGAGTTCAGTTTACCTGAACGACCTAAAGATTGACGTTCTCTGTGGTTTGAGCTTTGGAGCCAACTGAATTTGATGCAGCATTTTACCCAGAAAACGAAGTCACGAGCTAACGTATGATATGTACACATTTGCCCAATCATGAAATGTTAACGCGCACGCGGATAGCTACAGTATTTCAGAACCATTCAAACCACAACAAATATATCTATTTGGATCTAAGTATTTCAGAACTAGTCCTTTATCACATTTAAGCATTGAACCTTCCGGATTCCGATTGAAGGATTTTCCATAGGGTTTTAAATTGGAGTGCAGGCTTTAAATCAAATGAACACTGGATTTCAAGGGGGGAAAAAATGCAGTGGACCGTAATAAGAAAACTAGAATAAATTATGAAATGAGTAACGACCAACATAAAGAGCGTATATACAGGTTGGTGATCTAAGACATCTAACAGACCTAACAAGATTTTCTGCTTGGTTACATTTCTAAGAGTTACAACATCAAAAACAACATTCTTTCGTTCAGATACAGAAAAGGCACTCATGATTGGCATAATACAACAAAACATATAAAACCAAGCAAAATCAGACACTCCCAAGCTACCTTCAGTGAAGGACTGAGCCACAGGAATGTTGACTGTCGAGTCCTCTGTCCGCCATCAGCAGAAGGGAAAAGTGAGTAAAAGCCAAGTCACGAGTTACAACTTACAACTCACAACACAGACCAGAGGATCGTCCTAATACAAAGTAATAGTACAGAGTTCTTTTATCCCCACTAGAAAAGAAATTAAGCAGAAAGCTACTTAGGGGAATCACAATACATTTGACAGTTTTTCTGGCAGTAAGCTACTTGAGCACTATATTATGGTTAATGGTAGGGGTGGGCAGGCAGCAGCTACATCTTGAATTAGAGGAAGGCAGGAAGTTGAAGTCACAGCCGCAGCTACATCTTGTTATTCCAACTGCTTTTATTACTGCAAACAAGAAAGCAAAAGTCAGTACTCATTAGCCGCAGAGAAACAGAAGGCAAAGTAACAACACCAGAAAAATAGTAAATGAGCGTTGATAGTATGGAAAATCTACTGGTATGGCACAAGTATAACAATAAGGATCTGGGTAAGCATAACATACGAAACCTGGTGCATTAAAACGAATGCAACACAGTACAGTATGATAAGCATCTGAACAGCATTTCTTTTAGGCTGATAGGGAAAACTTTTGCAAAGCGAGTACCAATTAAAATATTAACAAAATCATGTGATACTTCAGCAGCTTGGATTAAATAGCATACAACATATATGAGATCTAGTCCATGTGATGCAATGTACCCACCACAGGTTTCATATTTATGTTATTTAACCAACACTAACTTGTCTCCGATAATAATTTCTTGTGCTTCATACTAATTTTTCTTAAGCCTTTCAGATATGGAGTTTCAAGTCAAGTTCTACACACAAGGGATTAGTACCAAATAGAGAGCATATTGCACCCTAAAAATGATGCATTCCTCGAACCAGAGTAAATTTGTGCTAGCTCATACATGTTTGCTATCACCAAATAATATGAACAGGAAAAAAACTAAGGAGCATTGATCTCTATGCAAATTTGAAAATTAAATTTTCATTTGAACAGTACAAAAGAGCGTAAATGATAAAAAATAAAACATGCCAACCGTAACATTGTACAAATCTAAAGTTTATCCCAGTGCAAAATTTACAGCTAATGGAGTTAATCTTGTTTATAGCTAATGGAGTAGCATAAATACAAATAACCAAGAAAGCACCAATGCACTAATGGAGTAGTAGAAATACAAATAACCAAAAAAAGCACCAATGCACAGTATAATTGTGCAAGCATTGAGTAGTCATATACTAAGAAACATATTTAAATATGATAACTATTAACATATTCAAAGCGCAGCAATCCAGCTTGGATCAGTACAGCTATAACATTGAAATTTAGTTAGTGAAATTGATTTTGGTACTGATCAGTGCTAAGTACAACTGCCAAAATGTAGCATGCTCTGTTAAGTTGAATTGTGGATGATTTTTTTACATATATTTGAAGAAAGAAACTTCTTTTTTCTTATAAAAAGCACAGTTAAGTCCAGTCATGTGTAGATGAAGGAACTCTTTTATGCATTCCCATATTATACTTTGCAATGATTTGTCTACACCTTGCATACTAAACTTCAAGCATTGGCATTCCCTTTCAACATACAAATGATATTTGTTTAGGATTTTTACCCCAAGACTGCTGCTCTTTTATACATGATTTAATGTGCTATTCTTTTCTGGCTTTGTTTTCATGTGATACTATCTAGTCCATGTTGTAAACTTCCACAGGTACATGCTTAATATTTCATTGTGCAAATACTACTGATAGCAGGGGCTTGTGGGCTAATTGGTATAGCATCCTCTCTATAACCGAAAGGATGATACAACAATTCCAGGTTCCATAAAGATAGATAATTTTGCAAACTTACATTAAGTTCAAAGGATACCCGCTGCAATATTAATCCAGTTTCTGAGAAATATAGCCCACTTGTTACAAAGTCAGTTGCAGAGTAGAGGACAGGAACCTTTACATTTTTGTTTGAGAATACATATAATCAGCAAATGGATTACAAAAAGGTTTGCTTCCTACAGCGCTATAGTTACATGTTAAGCATACAAAACTAATTACATTCTCGGCTTGAGCAATTCCTTTATGCTACAAAAGAATAAATGGAAAAAAGAATAACTATACACAACAAAAACTGGTATACATGATGAGGTTACATGAATATGATGCTATACACTAGTATCCAACAAGAAATTATATACAGGTATACAACGACAAAAAAAAAGAATATTTACATAAAAAAGGAGAACAGATTAAGAACTTACATCTCAATTAATGCTACAACAGATCCTTGGAGACAAGCAGGTAAAATCCACCGATGTTATAAGCAGTAAACAGTTGACAGTTGCAAGCTGATTCGCTAACCAAAAGGCATGTGCAAAAAAGATGCCGCCGCGAATTGCCGATACCCCTACACTAAACATAGCCCATCCAGATACATTACTCAGGCGACATCCGCCGCCGCTTTGAGTGGTCAACCTCCCTTGATCTGCTACGCCTCCCAGATGATCTTCCCCTATCCCAGTCTTCATTACGATCCGACTCACGCTTCCCGTGCCTATGATAATCGCCATGGCGATCTCTATCATCCCGGTACCGTTCCCTCTCCCTGTCTCGATCTCTTTCCCTTTCCCGTTCCCTGTCTCGGTCTCTTTCCCTTTCCCTGTCCCTGTCTCTCTCCCTCTCCCTCTCCCGACCTGCGTCCCGTTCATCACGGTGCCTCCTCTCTGGCCAGTCTGGTGGAGGAGGCAAATCTTTCTCCCTCTCCCGCCTCCTATCAGATGCCCCTGACCATTCCCTCTCTGGTGGCCTCTCCTTACCATGGCTCCCACCTTCACCATATTGTTGATCTGATGCTGCATCGTCGCCATAGCTTGATTGCTCTTCCCCACCCCAACCACCCATGCTCGGGTCTGGCCACATCCCGACCCCACCAGCACCCATACCACCTCCTCTTCCAAAGAACGCTGGGTTTACATGAGGTGCAACAACAGGTGGGAATGGCTGCATTAAGCCTGGGAATGGAGCAGCCCCAGGTCCTCCAGGGAAGCCACCAAACCCACCACCCATCCTCCCCATTGCTGCACCATAGCCAGTTGGATCAAAACCCTGCCCTAACATGCCTCCAGGATGAAGCATAGGTGGTGGTGGAGCTACCATCCCTCCGTTCCCCATTAATCCACGTCCACCAACCGGACCCATCCGATTCCTCATATTCCCAGCTTGGCCTCTACCCCCCATACCCCCGCCACCCCTTCCCCAATTTCCACCGCCGCCTCCACCTCCGCCACCACCCGGTCCACCTCCTCCGCCTCCACGACCACCACCATAATTCCCACCCACCTGAGCTCCACCCGGACCTCCAGCTGCACCACCACCTCTACCACCCTTCTGCACACCCGAGTTTTGCTGAGCCATCGATTGTTGGTTCTTCACCTGAGCTTCACCCATGCGGCGCACGGTGTGAGGCGAGGCGAAGGCCACGACACAGGGGCGTCCATTGAACAAGTGGCCGTTCATGCCCTCTTTGCAAGAGGCAGCAGCGCCAGGGTCATAGAAATCAACCTGGCAGTATCCCTTGGACTTGCCGCTCGCCTTCTCGTCGAAGAATCTCACCTCCTTGACCTGCCCGTACTTGCTTAGCTCTGCCTCTAGATCGGCGTCCGTGGTCCACCAGTGGAGCTCCCCTACGAAGAGGGTCGTACCACCGGGGCCATCACCACCCCCGCCGTTGCCGACCACAATCGGGCCCCCACCGTAGTTTCCCCCACCCTGGCGGTGGAAGCCGTCGCCTCCTCCCGGCTGGATCTGGTTATGCGGAGGCGGCGGAGGCGCGGCGGCCACCGGTGGCTGCGGCTGCGGCGGGAGGTGGACCGGGTTGGGCCGGTCGGGAACGGGGGCGGGGGGGACAGCCGCGACGCCCGGGATGTGCACCTTCTCCGGCTGCCGCTGCGGAGGCGGCGGCGGGAGCGAAGGGGGCGCCTGCAGCTGCTGCTGCTGCTGTTGCTGCTGCGGCGGCGGCGGTGGCGCCTGCAACGGAGGCGGCTGCTGCGAAATCGGCGGCGGCTGCTGCTGCTGCTGCGGCGGGGGCGGGGGCTGGGGCGGCGGGTGAGACGACTGGAGGAAGCCGTCCCCGACGTTGACGTCGTTGTAGAGGTCGTCGTAGTCGTCGTCGTCGCCATAGTACTGGTCGACGTCCTGGACGGCGGAGATGGCCTCGTTGCGGTGGAACGAGCCGTCGCCGTCGGGATCCATGGCGGCGGGCGGCGGAGCCAAACCCTAGGAGGGGAGGGCTGGATCTAGAAGAGAGGGGAGAGAGCGCGAGGGAGAGGAGGAGGTGGGAAAGGGGGCAAAACGCAAAACGAGCTCAACTAATCCGGTGTGATTGGGTTCGGATTTCTGGAGGCGTCTCGGGTTCAGAGCTAACGAGCGGGTGGTGCGGTGCGTATGACGGGTGGGCCCCACGCGCGAGATGGTTCGTCGTCGAGGGGGGAAGGACGTGGCGGGGCTCGAGTGCACGGGTGGGATTTGACCTGACGTCATATCGTGTGGATCCCGTTCCGACCGGCGCAACGCCCCCCGCCTGTTGTTGTAGACTTGTAGGGCCTTGTTTGGTGGGGCTTCGATTACAGCCCATCGAAAGCCCAAACAGAATGTGCCAGAATTGAGGCCCTTTGACATGTTTAGATTGTGCCCAACACAGTTTGACTAATGGTAGTTTAGATCGAAAGTCCAAAAAACTTTTTTTTCGAAAATAGTAAAAGTACACAATTGGTCTTAAATCATGTCACCTATATTAGGGCACCCACAATGATTATCTATAAGCTATCTACAAGAGATCCATGTCAGCATATTTTCCTACTTGGAAGATATTAAATGAAGAGAGAGAGCAAAGCTATCTACTAGATTAGAGATAGTCTATAGAGAAAAACGAGGCAATGCATGAGAGAACTATAGATACCTATGTAGACATACTATTGAGGTGGTTTACTATTAATCTAGTCTATTGCTGAGATGTATATGTTTTATAGAGAGCACCCTACTTTACCATTGCGGGTGCTCTTAGAATTAAACGGGCCAGACCTAAATTAATCATCTTAAAATTTAAGAGCACACATTAACATTAGAGATTAATACTATATGAAAAACCAACGGAAAAAATTTCAACTTAAATATGCTACAAATTGAATGCACCGTTTGACCGGTTAAACTGGTGGATGGAATGCCACATGCGCATGCGCCGAGCCGACCCGGGTGGAGGCGAGGAATGGCGTACGAGCGAGCGACGGAGACTTCTCCGTCGGGTGATCTTCGGACTGTTATTGTTTTTGTAGAACGAAACTGACGGCCATGCTCATATGTGGTGCTTTAGATATTCCTGATCCTTGTGATCTGCCCGTACGGATCTCCTGGATGAGTAGGCATCCAAAACTCTATCCACCTTAGTAACTATACGGGTAAGCGGGCGATTAATTTTTTTTATAGCGTGTTCTTCGCATGATTGCTCTCTTCTTCGTCTTCCTGTACATCAGCATTGCCTTTTTTTTGGGTGGAGTTTGTGATCACGTCGACCGTCAACACTAGGAACGTGAACATTGGCATTGGGAACGGCAACATCGGTATCAGGAACACCAACTTCGCTACTGGATCTTGGAGTGTTCTCTAACTATGTCTTTTATTTCAATGTTAATCATGTTACTGAATGATTTTATTATCTTTGTTAGCATGTTCATGTTTAGCACTGGTTTTGAATCACTCACATTTACAAATGTTATGCTTGTTATACTTTTTTTACTAGATTAAGTTATGTTGAATGATGACTAAGAGCATCCCAGCAGTTCATCCAAATCTCATCCTCTATATACCCATATGGATGGCCATCCAAAAAAAGATTCCTCATTCATATCCCTTCCTACTCCAACAGATCATCTATACCACATCATCCATATTACATTCTCTATTTTTTTAGTAATATCTTTCAACTAAACTTACATTTCTATCTTTTATTAAGGGATATATTTTCAACAACTAAATTTCAACGGTATTATATATCGCGGTGTTATTTATCGCGATAAAAATTTCGAAATGAGTAAATTTTAACAGAGATAATTTTACCTGGTAATTTTTTAATTGATATATTTGAATTGAGTGAATAGTAGCAAGAAAAATCATAGGAACAAAAATAAAATGATACGGGACACTGTAAAATCGTTATTTGTTCAAACGTTCCAAAATCAATATGTCAACGATAGCAGCCGCCTGTCCAGTACTACCCTTCTTTGCTCTCCTTTTCTCTTCTCTCCTCTTCTCTTCTCTACTGCTCAGCGGACAACCGGAGACGGCAGCGGGCGGGCGAGGGTTTTGGGCGGCGAGGTGCGGGCGGCAGCCGCACGGCCGCGGGCGCGGGCAGCGGGGTCGCGGGCGGAGGAGCGGCGGGCGGCAGCCACATTGCTGCGGGGCGCGGGTGGCGGTGTCGCGACGAAGGAACGGCAGCCGGCAGTGGGCGGGCCTCCGCCTCTACTCCGAGCCTCCGCCACCAAATCCAGTAAGTATCTCCTCTCTACTTCCATTCCTCTAGCCGACGATGAAGGGGAGGTCGTGATGGAGCAAGGTTGATCCGGAACTCCGGATGGGGGCGGGAGCGCTAGCGTTGAGGTATGGCGTGAGGAGAGAGAATCGTCATATTTGACATATTTCTTCTCGATTTGGCGCATCCTCTATTTTTTGAGGCATTGATACCGTATCTGCTGGAGCGCCGTTTTCTCCTCTTATGCACTATATTTCGGATGGAGTACCGGATGAAAGATCTGCTGGGGATGCTCTAAGGCTGTGTTCTTTTGAGAGAGTTCCCAACTCACCACCCTCATTTTTCGCGCGCACACTTTTCAAACTACTAAACAATATATTTTTTTGCAAAAAGTTTATATACGAAAGTTGCTTTAAAAAATCATATTAATTTATTTTTTTAAAAAAATAGCAAATACTTAATTAATCATGCGCTAATGAGTCGCTCCGTTTTACGTGCACAGGAGGTAAGTTCCCAACCTCAGCATAGGAACACACCCAAAATTTATAACAATCTAGGTGCACAACTAGCCCTTATTTAGGGACCTAAATAACACAATCGCACAGGTTCTAAGACCGTTGTGCAGTTTTTCTTTTTCATATATACACAGAGTACAAACTATAATTTGCACTATGTCCGTATTAATGAAAATCTATTATCTAAAAATAATAATTTGCACTATATTACAAAATTTTACGGCCAAAATTCAATATTAGAATGCATATCAAAGTTCCCTCAAAAAAAAAATCGTTCCCTCAAAAAAAAAGAGAATGCATATCAAATAAAACCATGCGTTTATCGATGGAGCATACCAAGACATACGTTGTACTCGTGCCAATTAACGTGTGCATCTTGTATCACACATTTCTCAATACACAACCACGGTCTGGAAGTCATACACAATGAGGTCTAAGTCAAATCGAGTCAACGAGGCACAACGGTCTGGAGTACCTTTCAAAAAAAGAAGGGGGCACGTGGCCAAACGACGCCATCCAAGCCGCCCGTTCTCGACCGAGGCCAAGATCGAACGGCCAGGGCGCTGCCTCCCGAGCTAAGCATGCGCGCCACCCCTTCTTCTTCCCCGCCGCGACCCCGCATGCCGCGCGCCACCACCCGCGACGCCCCCCGACCATGCCGACGAACACGCGCCGCGCGCCAAAGATAGCCATCGCCTCCGCCGCCTCCCGTATAACTGCGCCTTCGTCTCCGGCCGGCCATCTCCCCTCGACCCAACCCCCATCACGGCCGCGCGACGAGAACAACAACCACCGCTCGTCGGAGTCCGTCCATCGATCGGCACGGCTAGCGCGCCCGGCCGGCCACGCCTCATCGGAAGCTTCTCCCTCTTCTTCCAGTTGCAGGATCGAACACACCGATCAAGTGCGGCGAGTACGTAGCCTCTCCGCGTGATGGCACGCGCTCCCGCGCTCGCCGGCGTCGTCCTCCTCCTCGCCGTCCTCCTCGCGATGGCGTGCGCCGTGCACGCGGCGTCGTCCCAGCCCCCTTCCCCGGCCGCCTCTCCCGAGTCGTCCGAGGCCGAGTCACCGGAGTCTGAAGAGTCCGAGTGGGCTGCGGAGGGCCCGGGGATGCTGTCTGAAGCCTCCGAGGAGCTTGGCTTGGGGGCCGGGCCGCTCAAGACGATGGGCATGGACATGGACATGCTCGACGACGACGACGACGGTGCTGCTCCGTCCAAGAGCCCGGCTGCCACGGCACCTGCAGGCGCAGCCGCCGCGCCGGCGGAGGAGGGAGACGAAGAGGAAGACGCGAGCACCGCGTCGCCGGCGTCTGCGCCCGGCGCGAGCGAGGAGGCGGAGGGGGAGGAGGAGGCCCCGGCGGGCGCCCCCGACGCCGAGGCGGAGGAGGCGGCGAGCGGCCCATCCGAAGCGTCCTCCGAGGAGCCATCTGCCGCCGCCGCCGCCGCCCCGGAAGAATCCGGCGGCGGCGAGGAAGCCGAGCCGGCCTCGGGGGAGGCCCCAACCGCCGAGGCCGCCACCGCCGCCGACGTCTCCCCGGCCGCGGTCACCGTCTCCGAGGGCCCCGCGGAAGGTCCCGGCCCCTCGGCCGCCGACGAGGAGGAGGACGAGAGCGGCGCGAGCGCCACGACGCAGCGTGGCAGCCTCGCCGCCACCGCCGTGCTCCTCGTCGGCGCCGCCGTCTTTGCCCTGTAAGATCGACGTGGCCGGCTGGCGAATCGACGGTGGAGCTTGGAGTGTATCCATGTCGCAACGAAAAACGCTGCACTACTACGACGCACTCGTTGTTCCATTGGTCAAGTGTACAAAACTACAAATTGTACGATGAGTTGGCCCGATGCATCTGTTAGGCCTTCTGTGTCTCCATGACATGCATAGCTGTGTTTAGGTTTACCTTTTTAACTTGGAGTAATTTTTATCAAACTACATATATTTTAATTAAACAATCGAGAAATATAGACTTAAGACGGTGTATCATAGCTTCCAGAGCCTGCGTCCCTGTCATCCTCGCGCGGGCGACCGGGGCGAACCCTAGCCTCCGGTCGCCACCACTCTTCCCTCCTCTCCCCCGCCTCGCCACCGCCGAAGCGCGTCGGCGGAAACCGCGCGGCCCGCCGGGATGGCGTCGGCGAGGCTCCTACCCTCGGCGGCGCGGCTGTCTCTGCGCGAAGGGGCGGCGCGGAACGCCAGGAAGGCCGCGCGGTGGCGAGGCGTTGTGGCAACGAATCTAGCGCCGCCACCGCCGGATCTAGCACCCTCGCGGCTGGATCCGCCGACGCCGCCGCCGGATCTGGGCCGTGGAGACACGGGCGCGGCGTCGGAGGCGAGACGTAGGTGACGGCGACGGCGGCGAGGCGCGGCGTGGCAGCCGCGGAGGCACGACATCGGCAGCGAAGGCATGGGCGCCGGCGACAGCGGACGGCCGTGGAAGCCGTGGAGGCACGGCGTCGGTAGCAAAGGCGCGGGGTGCCGGCGACAGCGGGCGGCCGTGGCAGCCGTGGAGGCACAGCGTCGGCAGCGAAGGCGCGGGCGCTGGCGTCAGCGGCGGAGACACGGGCGACCGTGGCCGACGGCGTGGTGGCTGTGGCTAGCTGGCAGGGCCAGCGCCGGTGGTAACTATGGCCGTGGCCTGAGGTGGCAGCGGCGGTGGCTGGCGGTGCGGAGGCAGAGGCTGTTGCAACGGTGGCGTCAGCGGCTGGTCGGCGACAGTAGGTGGCTGGACGACGGCAGCAGCGGCTACTATGGCGACCGTGGCTATGGAGAGAGGAGGCACGGTGGCGACTGTGGTTGAGATGGGAGAAGGCATGGCGGCCTCGGACGTCTAGCCGAGGGCATGGCAGACGGTTGCATCTGGCCGGCGAGGCAGCGTTTGGAGGAGGGGTCAGAGACCGGCTTGGCGCAGAGAGGCGCAGCCGATGGAGGGAGGCCAGATTGGCACGAGAGGCGCGTACAGTGAAGGAGGCCGACTTGGCGCGAGAGGCGCGGCCAGCGATAGAGGAGGTGACCCCGGTGCGAGGAGGAGCTGCCGATGGATGTGCGCGGTCTTCGGCGCACGAAGGCTAGCCGGCGGGGGGCGCCGGTGCAGTGGTCCCACATGTCGGCAAATGTTGAGCGGTGGTGGAGCATCGGTACGTCAGTCGCGGATTCGCAGGTGGTGAGCAGCGGGTGAAAACCTAGCCCGGCCTTGGCCGGACCGACATCGATGGTTAATTCCCCCTCCTGAGGACGTTGTCGTGCTGTCTCATTCTTCAAGGGTGGTTGTTGGGTGAAAGCCCTGTCTTGGCTCCTTTAAGCTCCGACGGACGGCGGCGGCGGTTTTCCGTCGCTTCTCTTCTTGAAGATGTTGTTTTGGCATCACCTAGCCGAAGCCTCTCGAACGATTGGTGCAAGCACGCTCTAGGAGTTGGCTTTGTGTTGGTTGTGAGGGCGTTCTTTTGGGCGATCTCGTCTGTATTCCTTTATTGGTTTAGCGGCGGTCGGTCACGCTTAGCGGCGACTAGTCCGGTGTTAGCTTTCTCCTGGAATTTGTGTGTTGGTGATGTCGGTGTGTGGGTGTGGTATATTTTTTCCTTTTTCCTGGTTACGACCATCCAGAGTTGTAATCTTGTAATTTTTTCCTGCTCTATCAATAGAACCTCGCACCGTCTCGTGCGAGTCGTTCAAAAAAAAGACGGTGTATCATAGGCTACTGTTTAGCAACAAATTCATAAAACCATAATTTTAATAAAAAGGTATTATCACAAAACTACATATTTCATAGTTTAAATCCATTAATTGCAGTGTAGCTATGGTGGAGTTTTCAACGTTGTAGTTTTCTATTTAAATTATCACCAAATGTGCAGCTTTATAATAGTTTTATTGTTGGATATATAGTTATGTGATACTTCATACCAAATTTGTAGTTTTGTTATATATCATTGTAAATGTGTCGTTTTTTCTAAGGAGTAAATGTGTAGTTTTGATATATCTTTAGTCAAGTTATTTATGCTTTCATGAAATTTACTTTTATCGCGAGGAATTTGGACTTGCGTACGTAAGGAAGGGGGGTTTGGGCCTCAGCGGTGGTGGAGGTAGTGGGCCGACTTGTAGGCATCCAAAACTGTTTGGAATAAGTTCACCGGAGATCCCTCAACTTAACAACGAGATTTTTTTTGACGTCCCTTAACCACAAAACCAGAAATCTCCACCTCTAAACTATACAAAACCGTTCACTCAAGGTCCCTACACACTATATATGGGTGGTTTCACTGACGTGGCATCCTAGTCAGAAAAAAAAGTATGTGGGGACCACATGTCAGCTGCACATTCATTCCCTTCTCTTCTCTCTTCTCTTCTTAGTCAGTGAGGGAGGTCGACGGTCAGTGGGCGGAGTGGCAATGGGAGGGTGGCAGGCGAGCATGGCGATGGGTGGCAGCGGGCCCATGTGGCATCGGAGCGGCGCCGGGATGCGGGCAGAGCGGCGATGGGCAGCGGCGAGAGGCGCCACCCTCCGCCCCGCTCGCTGCTCCCGCCGTCCCGCCCGCCTCTCTCCCCCAATCTACGCTACCTGCCGCCACGCCCGCCTTCTCTCCCCTCTCCGCGCCGCCCGTAGCCGTACCGACCCCCTCTCCCACTTCTTCCCCGCGCACCACCGCGCTTGCATCTATAGCCCGCATCTGTCGGGGAAATCGCTGCGAAGGACAAAGGCGACGCCGATGGCGCACGCGAATGGGAGCAAGGTTGCCGCCCACCTCACTCGCCTTCTCCACCGTTCTCCTCGCCGCCCCGTCGCGCTCGCCCGCCGCGGGCCTGCCGCCGTTCCGCCCGCCGGCCGACGGCCTACCTCACTGAAGAAGAAGAGAAGAGAGGTAAGAAAAGAGGCGACGTCGGGGCGGACGACTGCGGAGGTGGAGAAGAGGGAGAGGGCCTCCTGGGGGGCGGCCGTGGCGGGAGTGCTTGGAGAGGATGGCGGTGTACGACGAGTAGGCAAGGGAGGGAGAGAGGGTCGACGGGGAGAGTGCGCCGCTCGCCGGCGGCTGGGCCCAAGGTCGAGCACCCGGCGCGTTCGAACATCTCCGCCGCCGAGCTCGCCATCGCGCCGACCGCCACCACTCCTCTCCCACCGCCGTCGTCGCGTCGATCGCCTCTCTCTCCCTCTCCCGCCGCCGCCGTCCCCGCTCCGTCGCTGGCCACCTCTCGCCCCCTCTGTCGCCGCGCCTGCTTGAGAGAACCCGGAGAGAAGAGAAGAGAAAAAGAAAGAAAAGAGAGAAATATGGGACCTATACCATTGTCTCACTTACATGTGGGCCCCACATATTAATTTTAATTATTTTTGCTGACTATGATGCCATGTCAACGAAACCACCCATATATACTGTCTAGGGACTTTGAGTGAACTGTTTTGTATAGTTTAGGGGTGGAGATTTCTGGTTTCGTGGTTAAGGGATCTTAGAATATCTCGCGGTTAAGGGATCTCCGGTGAACTTATTCCAAACTGTTTCGGGCTTTGGGCCCCGAAACAGAGCACAAGGCCCAAGGCCCAGATGTTTGCTCCTTGTACAACCTGCTACACGTTCCATTGTCGCGTCCATTTTGGCTTCGTCCAAAATCCAAGCAGACACCATCATGTGAACTGTCTGTTCCAAGTCAGCTACAGTACTACTCCAAGTACTAACCGCGGTAAACAAACATCGTTCGCTGCAAACCTGCGGTTTTGTACTTTTGTTTACTGCCAAATTGCTCAAACTCCCTCGGTGAGTGTCTCAGATCTCGAGTGATTTTTCCCTGCCCGCGCAGTGGCCTATGCTTTGCATTTCGGTTTCTTCCACCAGTTCACCGAACATGTTCTACAGACACCTGAACAGCAAAATCGGCAGGTGCTGAGCCCTGATCTGCCCGTCCTTCACGTCAACATGCCACCGTCGGGCGTCAGAGATGCAGATGCCACGCCGGCTACACACGCTCCGGCGTGTGAGGGCAATAGCATTGTGACAGAATTTACCTAGCCTCATATATACTTCCTCTTTTTCACAATGGAAATCATTCTAGCATTTCCCACATGCATATTGATATCAATAAATCTGTCTAGAATCATTAACATCAATATGAATGGGAAAAATACTAGAATGACTTACATTACGAAACGGAGAGAGTATCACCTAAACCAAAAACATTACTAGCTATATACTCCACAGTGGCTTATAGTGGGTCACATCTCCCACTATATCTCCTCTCTTTGTTTCGCCTCGGCAAAGGAAACAAAGTGGCGATACTCGAGCAGCGCCACGACGGCGTCGAGTGGCGCGACCCAAGCAACGTCAAGCAGAGTGATTGAGGTCGTAGTCACGAGTGGCGCGGCCCAAGTGGTGCCGAATGAAACGGTTGAGGTCATGGTCGTGAGCGGCAGCAGCTTGGTCCAAGCAATGGCAACAAGCGGAGCGGCAGCGCACGGCCCAAGCAGCGCCGAGCGAAGCAGCGACGGATCAACCTCGAGCTCTCTTCCCGAAGGGGCGTGGGACACAAGATTGTGGGCCCAAATCTACAATTTTGATAAAGAACGTGCAGCTTATTTTGGCTCCTTATTCTTGTTGAGGCAACGAAAAATATTAACATGGAGAGAAATCTCTGGGTTAACCGGTTAGGGTTATATGATATGTATGTGAGTACACTGCTAACATACTTCCTCCGTCCCACAAAAAGCCAATTTAGAAAGGGATTGGATACATGTTTTTTATACAACAAATTAGACAAGAAAACATCTAATCCCATCCTAGGTTAGTTTTTCTGTGGGATGGAGGGAGGGTGGTATACGTCGCACTCACCATCGTCCGTCGGTGGCCTTTGTCGCGTCGGCCGCGTGTTACAGACTTACAGGCTCGTTTTTAACCGGAGCGCGACACTGGTAGGCTACCGGTGCAGCACAGCAGCGGCAGCTGCACTCTGGCGCCGTGCACGTGGAATCCCGGCCTCCCGACTCGCGGCAACCCACCGCGCGCGGCGGCGTGTTGGCGGGGGGGCATCTCGAAGCTTCGGGCCCATGCATCTCCCCAATCTGCCGCTCACCACGTGGTTAAAAAGCTTCCGGCCGGTGGGTGCACAGCCGTCGGATGCGGGATCGGGCGGTGGGGGAGACGCGCGAGGTTGCGTACAAACCTCCGGATTACACCGAGGTTAGCAGCAGCATCAGATTCGGGGGGACAATTTTTTTTTTTTTGCTTTAAAGTCTCGTCGCTTCGTCAGCCTCGCCGCGCGATGGACGGCGCCGTCGGCGAGCCGCCGTCCATGGCTGACGCTACGTACTACTACTACTAACCTACGGAGTAGATTTTTGCGGAGCCATCGTTTCGCTTATCTACGAAATAAACGAAACGATATATTTACAAACGAAAAATAATTTGTGAATAAAATTTTTATATACGTATTCTTAGCAATTACTCCCGCTGTCAGGTGGATGTGAAATATCTTATTACTACGAATCTAAACGAAGAGTATGAACAAATTCGTATAGTAGTAGGATGTGACACATCCAATCAAAATCACTTATATTATAGGATAGATGGAGTAAAAGAAAAGGCTGAAAAATAAACTTTGATAAAAAAATCTCAAAATCTGCTTCAAATTTAAAGTTAAAAATTTAAATTTTGACAGATAAATATAAATATAAGTGAAAAGATGATGCCCTTGAATTTTCGATGGACTGGCTTTTTGGACAGCATTTTGGTGCACGACATCGGCTGCAATTTCATGGGCTCCAACCGAAATTCGGCGGCAGTTGAGACCTGTGTCCTCGGCGGTTGATGACAGTTGAGAAAGTTCTCACCATCGCACTGACTCAGATATGGACTAGATCTAGGGCCAGATATGACCTTTTCTCTGGAGTATCAAGCTTTTGACCCTCGAAATACGATGCCTCGGTATTCGTCATATCAGCTTCTCTCTTCTTCGCACAACGCTAGTACTCCACGTTGCCCACATAAAAGTACTCTACTCTATTACTAGTTGCTTGGATGCTTAGCTACACTCTGTAAAAACTTCTCTTTAGAGAGCAAATCATTAGAGCAGATTCAATAGTAGACTATAAGCCAACTATAAATATATTTTAAAAAAAATAAAGAAAGTTTGAGAAGAGCAATGGGCTACAGATATGTAGCCAGCTGCAGCGCGGACTTCAAGACATAATGTGTGTATGACAGATGGGACTAGGTATTAATAGAATAGTAAGTAACTATTATATGAATTGGCTAGAGATGATTTGGAGCTAGTAGTTAGCTATACTATTAAACTTGCTCTTAGCGAAGACGGAGTACTCCTACTAGACATGCTTTTTTTTTTACAACTGCAAACTAGACATGCTCTGCAATCCGTATAAGAGCAAGCTTAATAGTATCGCTAACTACCAGCTTCAAACCATTTATAGTCAATTTTATAGCCAATTCATACTATAGATACCTATAAACATATACTACACAATTATACTTAGTCCCACATATCATATACACATGTATCTAGGAGTCCGTACTGCAGCTGGCTATAAATCTATAGCCCGCTGTTTTTCACTCTTCTCTTTTATCTCCTCTCTGTACCTGCTCTAACCACTTCATGATGCATCCGGAATTCCGGATGGAATTCAGTTGCCGTGCTAATTTTGTCTCGCTTACTGCTGGGCCCGCCGCCCGCTGTTCTTGCCCCTGCACACTCCACCGGTCATGATTCTTCTCGATTGCAACTCGCATGCTCGAAAAGGACATCGACTAGTTCTTTTTTAAAATTTTCTTTCTTCGTTTTCAATTCCAGGCAGCTCGAGTTAGAGTGAAGACATGAGCAAGCTCTGCATGAAGACATTTCACTGCGCGCGACAACTTGCTGAAGTGCTGATGAAAACAGCCTTTCCTACGTACGCTAGAAACCACTGATAGTAAATGAGGACATCATCACATCAAACACAAGATCCAAATAAAGAGGATGAAAAGAGATGAGGAAGATGAGGGCATAAAAAGGTTATTCGGTGGAGTGCAAGAGCAAGCGGTGAGCTTGGAGGAACAAGCATTGCCATTGGTGATATTATATTGGAGCCGTGGACATATGAATATATTCGTCTGAGTTTAAATCATGATGCTTATAAATATTATGTAAAAATACGTTTTCAGTAGTATAAATATATTTAGTTAACCTATGAATTTATTTTTATCTTTAAGTTTCTTTTAAAGTATACATAAAGTATACATAAGTATATAAATATATGTACACGTGATGTCCATGTGTAATGATATATGTGCACATATGCGTACGAAAACTATGATCATATTCGGAGCCCCATCGGTTGGTCAAATAAACTAAAGCAAAAGCTAAAATTTAAATTTCAAATTTAATTTTAAGGTATTTTCAAAGTAATTTATTTTTAGCATTGGCTTTTAAATCACTATAAACAAATATATAAAAATTTTACCTATTAATAACTTTTTATTTTTTAATAAACTGTTTTGGCTTATTAGGAAGTCTCAGGAACTGAAAAGAAAATATCAAAATGGCAAAGGGTTGCAATTACCTGTGAACCCCCGGGGCATCACGCTGTGCGCACCCAACCAAGTTAAGTGAGCGCCAATCTCTATACTGCGCCCACTCCCCCTCACTCCCACGCGGCACGCACCCCGCTGCACCCTGCACCACGCTCCACTCCACCCCCACCCCCACCCCACCCCACGCCGCGCCGCGCCATGCGCCGCCTCCGCCTCGCCGCCGCCGCCGCCGCGCCACACGGCGTCCTCCTCCTCCTCCTCATCCTCCTGCCGCTCGTGGCCGCGGCCGGGCCGGCGGCGGCCAAGGCGCCCGCGGCCCCGCCGGCTCCGCCCAACGTGACGACGGCGATGGCGAAGGGCGGGTGCAAGGCCTTCGCCGACCTGATCGCGGCGTCGCCCGACGCGTCCTCCACGTACCAGTCCGCCGCCGGCGGCGGCATCACCGTGTTCTGCCCCACCGACGACGCCGTCAGGGCGTTCCTGCCCAGGTACAAGAACCTCACCGCCGACGGCAAGGCCGAGCTGCTCCTGTTCCACGCCGTGCCCGTGTACTACTCCCGCGGCAGCCTCAAGTCCAACAATGGCGTCATGAACACCCTCGCCACCGACGGCGCCGCCAAGAACTACAACTTCACGGTGCAGAACGAGGGCGACGCCGTCACCATCAAGACCGCCGCCTCCGGGGACGCCGCGCGGGTCAAGTCCACGGTGGTGGACGCCGACCCCGTCGCCATCTTCACCGTCGACGCGGTGATCGAGCCGGTGGAGCTGTTCAAGCCGGCGCCGTCGCCGACGCCCGCGCCGTCGCCCGCTCCGGCGGCGGACGCTCCCAAGGCCAGTAAGCCCGCGCACCACCCGGCGCCCGTCGTGGCGGACGCTCCCGGCCCCGCCGCCACCGACTCGCCTCCGGCGGACCAGAAGAAGGAGGCCAAGAAGAGCGCGGCGGCCGGCGCGCCGCCGTGCGTCCGGTGGTTCGCCGCGGCGTTGGCCGCCGTCGCCATGGCCTCCACATTGGCCTAGGGCAATTGTTCTTTTTTTTTTGTGTTCTTGGTTGATGATCCATTGGCGTGATCGTGGTGTGATGGCGTGTTGATGTGCTTGCGAGATTTGTGCTTACTTTCGTGGAAGAACTAGTGGAGTGCTTAAATATTTTGTTAGTGCTTTCCTAGATTTTCGTTTTTTTGTTTGTGCCTGCTGTTGCTACTTGTTAATTGTTAATTAGCATTAGTAGATCATGAGATGTTGATATCTTATCAGCATTTTGGTTTTGACTTGATGAGTGCAGTTAAGTTGCTGAGATTTTGCTACATGAACCGTGCATTTTAAAATTTAAACCCATTTTGCAGCTTTTCCATTATTTTTTTGACAGAGAGATTTGTCACTTAAATTGTTGGAATGTTTTTCTGTACATCTCCTCGAGCAAATCTCAGATATGAAACTTATCATGGTGCCCGTTTTACTGACAAATTGGCAAGGATCTTTTCGTTGCATCAAGTGCAACTTCTGCAGCTCATTTCTTGTTATTTCAGTTGTCGGTGGAGCCATAAGGCCATTTGCTTCAGAGGTCAAAACAACCCAACCCACACATCAAAAGCAACAGTAAAAAATTCCTTAAAAAGCACACAGTAAAAATAAAGAAAGGTGGAAGTAACTGTTACTAGAAGGAGAGGAGGAGATCGAGACAGAGATATTTGACGTGATCGAGCCGGAGAGATTTAAGGTGAGCTTGAAAGAGGGGTTGAGATTGTGCCTTGACACAGAAAACAAACGAGACATTAGCACATAATTATTTATATGCATTAGCTATCGCAAAATTAAAATTTTGATTTACATAAGACTTATATATATAAAAGGTTTTTAAATGTAAAAAAACGTAATGTTGAGCAGTTTTGAAAGCGTGTTAAACGTTCTTTTTTTTTCTTTAGAACTCAGCCATAATTTTAGTTGCATTGTGTCTTTTTTACCGAGAAAACAGGACACGAGACCGATTCCGATTCGGGCCAATTTCCCCCTAGGAGGGGATGAAAACGAGCCTTTATTGGTAGCACCGACAGGGCTGTGGATCCATTCGGACACTGCCGCCACTCGCAGCTGAGCGACCTCGCAGTGTTGCCATCCTAGCCCAGCATCTTTTGGCACGAGAAAGCGCTTCGGAACTGTGCCCGTTTCCGACAAGACAGTGGGCAGCAAATCTTGTTTCAGTCATTCCTCTTCTTTGGTGGTCAGTGATGCCGCTTCTCTGATCACTTGGTTGTTGGTTGTTTCAGTCACGGCCTCTCTAAAGCTTCACAATCCGGTCACGAACGGTATCATCTAATTTCGTGGAATCCGTTGATAAACCGATAAAGACTGATAAAATTTGAATAATTTTTGCTGAAAAAATAAATTTTAGTTTGGTTGTTTTTTAACTTTACGTGAAAAATCGAGTGGTTTTTATTTTTGGCCTAGTCCGGAAAATCCGCATTTTGCTAAATTCGAATCGAATTCTACTAGAAGTTGTGTACTCTGTCACTCTCTTCTTTCACTCCTTGCACTTCTTTTTAAAAAGAAAAAAGTACGAATTAACCCCTTTTATCGCGGTCGTCCGAAATACCCCCCTGAACCACAAAAACGGATATTTTTCACCCACAACTATGCAAACCGGACAAATTACCCCCCTCGACTCAGTCCACAATGGTTTTGGTTTACGTGTCGTACGCGTGGTAGTCCAGTCAGCATTCTATTTATATAAAAAAATGGGACCCACCTGTCATATCCTCTTCCACTTCCTCTCTCTCCTCTCTCTCTCTCTCACTCTTCCCCCCTCTCTCTCTCATGCGCATGCACGCTCGGCGGCTCGTCGATCCCACGGAGGAACTCGAGGAGCGGCGGTCACCGTCGCCGTCGCTGGTACCGCGCGCCGACGCCATCTCCCCTCGGGCCCCGCCCGCATCGCGTGCCCTCGTCCGTCGCCCGTCGTCGTTGTCGCCTTGAGCCCCACCTGCGCGCCGTCATCCGTCGCCATCATCCTGCGCCCGTGTGCTGCCGCTGTCGCGTCTCGGAGAAGGCGAGCGCGGCGGCGGAGGAGGCGAGGGGACGACAGAAGAGCGTGGCGGCGGAGGAGGAGAGAGGGCGACGGAAGAGTGCGGCGGCAGAGGAGAGTCCTCCACCCAGCCAGCCGCCGCCGTAGCCGCCTCTGCCCGTCCAGCCGCGCCCGCCGTCGCAGCCGCTTGGCTAGCCAGTCGCCTCCGCCCGCCCAGCCGCGCCCGCCGTCGCCGCTGCTCGCCCAGCCAGCCACCGTCGTAGCCGCGCCCACCACCGCCGCTGCGTGCTTTAGCGAGGGGAGGGGATGAATATGTGAGGAGAGAGAGAGGAGGGGTGCACAGGTGGGCCCCACCGAATTTTTTTAAAGGAGTGCTGACTTGCCTGCCACGTGTATGCCACGTAGATCAAAAACCACTCCAGAGATTGAGTAGAGGGGGTTATTTGTCCGGTTTTAGTAGTTGAGGGTGCAAAATATTTGTTTTTCGAGTTCAGAGGGTAATTTATACGACCGCGATAGTTCAGGGGGCAATTCGTACATTTCCATTTTAAAAATATATTTTAGAGTATTTTTTTTCATAATAAACTTCTTTTCCAACCCAATCCGCTAATAACACATATAAAAAATTGATTCATCAATTATTTTCTATTGCTTCTTTTATATTTCTACGGTTTATCAGTCATAGCTCAATCAATCAAAGCTGAGCTGAAAAAAAAACTGGGAGGTTTCAAACTGATTTTGAAGAAATAAGTTCAGAAGTTTTTAACTTGCAAAAAAAGAAGGAAAATGCTTGCGGTCGGACGTCCGACGCACCAAACAAAATCGGACGTGATCTGCTCACGACCTACATACTACTCTCTCCATCCTAAAATGTTTGAAGATGTTGACTTTTTTAAAAATATTTGACCGTTCGTCTTATTCAAAAAATTTAAATAATTATTAATTCTTTTCCTATCATTTGATTTATTGTTAAATATACTTTTATGTATACATATAGTTTTGCACATTTCACAAAAGTTTTTGAATAATACGAACGGTTAAACATGTTTAAAAAAAGTCAACGGCGTCAAACATTTAGAGAAGGAGGGAGTATATGTCTAGCTGTTGTCTTATTTTTTTTCTCTCAGCCTACTGCATGGTTGCACATTTCTCTCTCTCTCTCTTACTTTTCTCCTTAGTACTTCACTCTAATATATAAGTGTGTATGTATGTAGAAAAAAAAAAGCTATGCATGCATTAGTAGATTCAAACTAGTTTTCTCCTAAAAATATTTATTAAATCTACAATCCGATTACACTATTATATCTGTTGCAATTAAATCTTTACAATAAGATCTTAGTTGATTATATTTTTGATAAAAAAATAAATAAAAAGAATAAAACACTATTAAATCCTAATTGAAACATTTTTATTCTATATATGAAACATCGAGTTATAAGTGTTGCAACACTGCACCTATTTATTGAAACACTAGAAAAAACACTGGTGCAATATTTACATTGAACTAGTGAAACATTAGAAAATACTTATTGAAACATCTAAATAATATCACGTGCAATATTTATAAAGATCTACTACAACATAACACTTAAAATGTGCAACATAGTCAAATTCCAATTGAAACATTTATTTCTCACACGTGAAACATCCAAGTTCAACGGTTGAAACATTTGTATTTTTTCTTAGAATATAATGACGTGATATCTTGTTTTTTTTTTTGCGGCGAAAGGAAATAGATTACTCTTCTAGAATATCATTACAAACCAAATGAGAGATGAAACTGCAACTATTTCCTAACCAGACCTCAGAGATGTTTTCACCGCTAGCCTTATTAGCTAAAAGATGACTGATACTATTCTGACTTCGGTGACCCTTAACCAACTTAATCTCCCTACTAACATGTATGAGGTCCTTGATTTCCTTAACTAGAAAAGCTTGATCCGACATCGCTTTCTCAGTAGACTTTAGAAGCTGTATTGCTTCTAGGCAGTCAGACTCAACAATGATCGGCCTGAGGGACCAATGCAGGGCCAATAGTAATCCTTCTCTGTAGGCAAGAAGCTCTGATTCTAAGGCACTGATGCAGCTCGCCAGGGGTTTACAGGCTGAAGCAATTACCTCTCCTGTACTGTCCCTGAGGACCATGCTGATTCCTCCCTTATCTTGACTAGCATCAAAGGACCCATCAATATTCAGTTTCACCCAGCCCAAAGGAGGTCTCACCCACCTGTGCTTGACATTGTTCTACATCTGGGAACTCCTGATGGCGCCCGTCGCTACATAATCCACAACATGTTTTCCTTTCATTAAATTTGCTTGGGGTTTGTTGTTTGATCTCAAGCAGAGAACACATATAGCTTTCCAAGAATCTTCTGGAAGACTCAGTTGTCGGTGCAGGTTTCCCATGCGTAATATCATTGCGAACAAACCAGTTGCGCCACAATACCATGAGAAACATAGCCCGCTCGGGTTCGAGAAGATGCTCCAATCTATCAAAGATCCAACCTGATACAAACGGGCCATCATCCATAATACAGGATATATTCTGGGACTCCTTCATGACCATCCAAAGAGACTTGGCATGTGGACATCGATACAATGCATGGGCAATGTCTTCTTCCTCAGTACCGCAAATTGCACAAACATCTGTGGCCTCCAATTTCCTTCTCTTCTTGTTCACCATGGTAGCAAGGCAATCTAATGCCACCTTCCAAGCGAAAATTTTTACCTTCTGAGGCACATTACATTTCCAAAGCATGTTCCATGCTTTACTACGGTCGACTGCAGATGAGGCTGAACAAGCATTCTCAGAAGCAAGCGAAACTGCCAGGCTATAAGCACTTCGGACTGAAAACCTCCCTAATCTGTCTGGGTGCCAAGCCACAAAGTCGCTTACATCCTGAGAGGGAACACGAATTTTCAGTATAACTTCAGCATCAATGGGCCAGAATATCTGTCGAACCCGATCGACATCCCATTCGCCTGCATCTGTTAGGAGGTCAGCTACCCATTTGGTTCTGCAGTTACTCTTCTTGGTGATCGGTCGTCTTGAGTGATCACGCGGAATCCATGGATCACGCCATATACGGACTGAGCGACCGTTCCCAATTCTCCATATTATCCCCTTCTTCAGCAATTCCAAACCAAACTCAATTGCTCTCTAGCCCGGCGAAGCATTCCCGCCAAAACTTGTGTCAATGAGATTTCCATTTAGGAAATATTTCGCTTTCAGAACTATTGCACAAAGACTGTCAGGAGAATCAATTAGCCTCCAGGCCTGCCTGG